CTTTATCAACCACTACGGCTAGATGATGGATATGCCGACACTTGCCCGCGTCCCTCTTTGTCTCGTGCGAGTTGATGCGGTGGACTCGACTTTGAGCTGCGAGACCTACACCGACTTTCATGCAGAATGACCAGGGCATACGAGTGGCGGGGTGCTGCAGACTGGAAGTGAATCTCCTGCCGAGACATTATCCCGAGATCGCCATGACCCGAAGAGCAAGTCGGAAACACGTGAATGCGGCGGCATAAACAACAGAGGACGATTGTTATGGTACAAGCATTTCGGCATGATCTATCTGCTGCTCCAACTCTTGCCAGGCGGACGTCCTCTACATCATCTACCGAGTTATCTATTCCAGATCACCAGGAAGCACGTTCGTGACGCGCAACACAGTCACTTGGCGGCGGAACCCATTCCATCGGCGGTAATTCTTTCGTCGCTTCTTCTTGAAAATGTCAATCTTTTTATCCAGCGTTTGCTCTTCCACGCGCGCTTGAACAACGGCGCCGTCAATGAAGGGGCGCCCGATGATGGTTTGGTTGGGGGATCCGATCAGCAGCACTTCATTCAAGTCCAAGATCGACCCGACCTTGGCATCGATGATCTTTTCCGCAATCACAACGTCTCCCTGCATCGCCACGTGATCACATCAAATCATGTCCCCCGCGAGCTTGACGACATTCGTACCTGGGTGACTTTGAATTGCGTTGCACCGAGCTTGACAACAGCAAACACATCGCCGGCTTCCAAAGACGCAGTCAACGGCGAATCGTTGACAGGGTGGCGCACGACGGAGAATCCTGTGGACTTGACAGTAGTAGCAGTGATGTCTGCATCGACTGTGGTACTGAATGCGGCGCGGTAGATGGACGGGCGTGCCGCCGTCAGGCAGCGACTTCCAAGGGAACGGAACAACGCCATGTTGGATGGAGAAACACAGCCAATGGTTCCCGAGCAGCAACGAAGACGACCGAGCCAATCAAATCCCACCGTGGGTCGTCGGGTGGGCACCCGCCCGAAACCCAGAAATAGTGTTGATCGAATACGTTCAGTCATCTATAAATAGTGTTCGTGCTTCGACTGATTTCAAATAGTGTAAGATATTACAGTATTTGAAAGTTCGAGGCGTAGTTGCTTCAATTAGTGTTTGCCATGGCACTAGCTGATATCCTGTAGTGCCAAGACACGTGAAATAGTGTGCGACAGTCACGTTTTGAACGAAGTGGGCAACACAGATGGCAAGCCGAATGGGAAGATATCTTCCACATGCAGCGGTATAGCGTACGCCGCATATAATGAGCATGCGATTTCGATAATGTAGCATTGGTACTGCCCATGCGCAGTCGACCCGTGCGCGACAACGAGCCCGTAAATCCCTCGGAATGGGTGGTGGAGGTTTGGGGATTGCACGAATATATCGAACGAACTTAAGCCAATCAGATCTGTCAACACAATGGCGACCGCACCCACATACAAAAGTCAAGTATAACGAAAGGCCAAATTGAGTGGCTTTGGGACCGTCGACTCGAAAAAGGCCGTCACTCCCTTCAACGCTGTGACACTGTATAAAATCATGTCGAGAGTTTAAACACGTTTAAGCTGTTCAACGTACTATAGACCATCTCAAGTAATCAATCATGTCAAGCCAGAACAACCCCGAAAATCGGGTCCTCGTTGTGACATCTTGCAAGCTTGCAATCGACGCCCCGGGCCTTGGACAAAGCGGAATATGTGACGCAGAAACACATTCACCTTTTTCTCTTCTCAACGAAACAACATCCCTCAACTCCATTTCAATACCCTGCCGACGTTGCTAGGCGCTTGCGATATCAACTTGTAGTTGCTATCAACTTCGCGTCTGCTGCTGAAGTTGGAGTCTTTCTGAGGTACCTAAATATGTTGTGAACACACTTGCAAGCTGCAAACCAGTCAGACGAGTAAGATTCACATTGTCCAGGGCTGTGCGGTAAGCGTGTGACTAGCTTCGTCTTGAATGTCCAAACGTCATGCGTTAAATACGTTTTAGTTCCGAAGGGCGTCGAATTCAGCTGGGGTTGGGGGAATCTCCCGTGAGATTCTTCGGGTCCTCGTCATTTTAGAATTTGCCACTACCAAGAACAATGGCTTCCATGGGAGACTACCGCGTCGCTGACATCTCGCTTGCCGACTTCGGCCGCAAGGAAATCGAAATTGCCCAAATTGAAATGCCCGGTTTGATGCAATCCATCCAAGAGTTCGGCCCTTCGCAACCCTTGAAGGGTGCCCGTATTGTCGGCTCGCTCCACATGACGATCCAAACCGCTGTGTTGATTGAAACCTTGAAGGCTCTCGGCGGTGACATCCGCTGGTGCTCGTGCAACATTTTCTCCACCCAAGACCACGCCGCCGCCGCCATCGCCCGTGATGGTTCCGCCGCCGTGTTCGCCTGGAAGGGTGAAACCTTGGAAGAATACTGGGAATGCACCTTGAACGCCGTGACCTGGCCCGAAGATGACGGCAAGGGTGACGGTCCTGATATTATTGTCGACGACGGTGGCGATGTCACCCTCCTCATCCACGAAGGCTACAAGGCCGAACAAAAGTTCGCCCAAGACGGAACCCTTCCTGACCCTGCCTCTACCGACAACGCCGAATTCAAGTGCGTCCTCGGTTTGATCCGCCGCACCCTCCAAACCGACCCCACCAAGTGGACCAAGATCGCCAAGCGCTGCAAGGGCGTGTCTGAAGAAACTACAACTGGTGTCCACCGCTTGTACCAAATGGAAAAGTCCAAGTCCCTCTTGTTCCCCGCCATCAACGTCAACGACTCTGTCACCAAGTCGAAGTTCGACAACTTGTACGGGTGCCGCCACTCTCTTCCCGATGGTATCATGCGTGCCACCGACGTCATGTTGGCTGGTAAGCGCGCCGTGATCTGCGGGTTCGGTGATGTCGGTAAGGGTTCCGCCCAAGCGATGAAGGCCGCTGGTGCCATCGTGTACGTCACTGAAATTGATCCCATCTGCGCTTTGCAAGCTGCCATGGATGGTTTTATCGTCGTGCGCCTCGAGACTGTCGTCTCTATTGCCGACATTTTCATCACGACCACCGGTAACAAGGACATTATCATGACCGAACACATGGCCAAGATGAAGAACAACGCCATCGTCGGTAACATTGGTCACTTTGACAACGAAATCGACATGTTGGGTTTGGTCAAGGCCACCAAGCGCCAAAACATCAAGCCTCAAGTTGACCGCTTCGTGTTCCCGGACGGTCACGGTATCATCATGCTGGCTGAAGGCCGCCTCTTGAACTTGGGCTGTGCCACTGGCCACCCTTCGTTCGTCATGTCCAACTCGTTCACCAACCAAACTTTGGCCCAAATTGAATTGTGGACCGAAAAGGACTCTGGCAAGTACCAATCTGGCAAGGTGTACGTGTTGCCCAAGCAGTTGGACGAAAAGGTCGCCCGCCTCCATTTGGCCAACCTCGGTGTCGAACTCACCGTGTTGAGCAAGGAACAAGCTGATTACATCTCGGTCCCCGTCGAAGGCCCTTACAAGCCCGAAACGTATCGTTATTAAAGCATGCAACATGGTTTGTTGGCGTTGGTTGCTTCCGTCCATGTGATGGACAGAGCCGCCTTTGTCACGTGTAACAACATTTACTGCTTTCCTACCGCACCGCACACTTCACCATTTCAATTCACATTAAGTTGAACCGTAGGCGATATGATCGCAGGAATGGTGGTGGCCATCGTGGCACCTTTTAATGCCAAATCGCCGATGATTTCTTTTCTACGTCGTATGCGTTCGAGTTGGCGGCATGAGATCGTTGCTGGAACTTGGGACGCCTGGAAGCTAAATGAGGTTGGCCTTGTTGTCGTTGTCTGTTTTGCCAATGGCGATTCGTGCCTCGAGGGTGGTCATCCTTGGCGCTGTTATGGAGAGATCGTGGATGGAAAGAATGGTCGGTCTGTTGAGGGTTGGCATTTGGAGTGTGGGGCAGTGGAAGGCCCCAGAAAACAATTCGAAAACGGGGAACAAAGAGTCGAGCAAAGGCGAAGCCGAATGAACAAAATGCCAGCTCGTGTTTGCTACAGCAATGGTGGCTTATAGGTAAATGATGAGAACGAGCGCTGCGATCAAGGCGACAATGATTGTGTAATAGTAGCATAGCTATCCATAGAGCAGGCTATGGTCATGGGTTGAAAGTACGAGGGGTGGTTGGACGTACATACCTGCTTGCGCTTTTTCGAGACGGCGGCGGCGACGCTAGCTTGGCGCTCGACTTCCGACGTTGCCTGGGTTGCATTCTAACGTCGCATCCAACATGAACCAAAACGATGTCCTCGTTAAAGCAATCTCTGCGTATCGTACCTGGGAGATGTCTTGAATCAGTTGATTCTGTGCCACGACTTCGGCATTCAAACCTCCTGCTGTGTTCTTGATTCTCTTGGTCCCCGCAAGAATCTCGTCGAGCGTTGCTTCCTGTGCCATGTTGCGACAAAGATCATCTTGCCGTACCTGCAACCCAACGAATCGATACCTGGTTAGTCTGCTGCTCCTCGATCGTCAGCGCAGCATGCCGCGGAGATCCAGCCTCCTTGTACGGCGTCTCGTCCACGTCTTCGAGCCCCCACTTATTCTCTTGCTTCATCCTCGATAACGACAAAACGGGAGGTGACCCTGGTGAGTTGTAACTGTCGAATTCTTAATTATTTTATTTGAACCAGCGCATGGACATCCGAAGTGCTGGCGCGACGGCATGTGCGGTCGTGCCACGTGCAGGAACCCTGGTTTGTGTCAAGTTCTTCCGTCGATACACGGTTAGAGGGAGAGGCAAGCGTCCAATGAGGTCAGACGTCGATTCATGCCAGTGAAGGGAGCACTCAGCGTTTCACGAGTGTCATGTATGTGCACACGGCCTCGTCGATTATTTGGTCAAGTCTCTCGCGATACTTGAACTGATTCATCCTATTCTTCTCCACTCCAACGATGTTGTGAGGTGTAGAGCATCACGTACGTCCACTTATGCGGCAGATCATCGCCGAAAGTCTTGGTTTTTCACGTTCTCAGGGATTGATGGAGCAGAGCACGGCAGTTTGTAGGTCTTCCTCCTGTTTCATCCCTTTCCGCTGCAATGACGTTGAGTGACCTAGCCTCTCGTACCCATTCACGCGGGAGATTGCTGCCTGGTGAAGTTCCTGGCCTCTCTCCAAGCTGGTGCGCAGGTTCTGGCCACTACAGCCTGAGTTTCGACACATCCGGATATCCGCATTTGTCTGGATATGTTGCGGATATGATATCCGGATAATCGGCGTGGAAACTTTTGAACAACATCGCACACAACACGGGAATCCCATCGAGGTCGATTCGGACGATGGGCCGAGCGACGCAGTTAGCGACGAAACGACAGAAGCTCATCGCCGAGCAGACGATGCTGCGCAAGTCCCTTGCACTCCTCGAATCAGACACGCACGAAGACTTGTTGTCTCGTTTGGTGCCATTGGAGCTCGAGCGTGCTCGTTCGATTGCCAGGGCAGAAACAATGTCGGCGCACCTTGTCCACAGCGCGGACGTAATCTACGTGTACGAATGCGAAGAAGCTGAGAAGGAATACGAATTGAGCTGCTCGAAGCTCAAGAACGACATGCTGGAAGAGATCCGACTTGAAATGGAACGCGTCAAGGAACAGAAACGCTCCGGGTTCGGGTCGGCGTCGTACAACAAGGCGGCACTCGCTCTCCAACGACAAACAAACATGCGCAAGACGCGTAGCAGCAAGAAACCGACTTCGAACCGCGGCCTCGGGTCGCTGGGGTTTGCCGACGACTGGGGACGACCGGCACCCAAACGCCTCAACACAGTGTTTACGCCCCTGCACAAGACATTGTCGGCGATCGAGATTGCAGAGGACGTGGAGTTCGTGGAGAACTTGGAGCGAGCATTCAATGAGTCCGAGGAGGCATCCCGTCGCCGAAAAACGTCGTCTGCAAATGCAGACGCATGTCCAACAAGTGTGTTTGCCCGCTTTGTGCGGGGCAAGGTGCTTTATCGAGACCTCGTGTTACAAGAAGACGATCACGTCCGCGTGACCAAGTTTATTGCGCCGCCAGGAACTGCGTCAGGAACCGACGACACCACTGTCATCACGTACAATGCGATCGTGTGCGATCTCACTTCTGCCGAAATCTTCGTGCTCAAGGAAAACGGCAAGTACACGCGATTGCTCGTGCAGGACCTGCGCAATGGAAGCGTCGTGATTGATCCCGCCGATGGAGGTGACAGCGAGTAGAGCACCCTTGGCTGAGTAGAAAACCACAAGAACAGTGTAAAGCCTGCCCACGGTCAACTTAATCAAGAAAGCTCATGGGGCTTCGGAGGTGTCTTCATTATCGACAAAGGTCAGGTTTCCTCATTTGCGAGATGGAGCGATGGAGGGAGGGAGAGAGGGAGGGCCATTCAATAGTTGTGTTGTGGGTCCGTGTCGATTTCTGTTAAAGTTTGTTCTCCACTTTGTCCGTGTACATGTCAGGGATTTGAAGCCCGACGAGGCGCGCTGACTTCTTCACGATGTCCGCGTTGCGCATTCGCTTTTCAATGCCAGCATCCATACTCCAGAGCCGCTAAAAGGGTGGGATTTGAGACGATGACAGCGTCAGGGACAGCGGATACCTTTTGCTCTTCGACACCAGACCACAGATTCACCAAGTCGATGGCTTCAGCGCGGTATGCTTTGATTTTCGTGCGGTCTGTCTCGTGTTGACGTTTGCGGAACTGTTGCAGTCGAACGGGGTGAGGGACATGGTTTGAAATCGCGTGGAACGCGATATATGCGGGGATTTGGTGGACCTTACCTTTTCAAGAACGATGTTGTTCCATTCCTTGTTAGCCGTGGTGCTGCGATTCAGTCGGAGCAGAGTGCGCAGCGACTTGAGGACGTCGGCCTTGGACCCGAGGCGGACGCTCATGACGCAAGACTTATCAAGAATGGCAAGGTCGCACTTAAGAAGGCCAAGCGATTGAAACACGTTTTCTAAACATTTGAGACGTTCTAAATGTGTCCGATCCACTTCGCGGATAACTCCAAAAGTCCACTCGTGCTGCTCGATACTTGAGCACCAGACTCAACACTTTCACTCGATGAAGTCAACACAATATATTCAAGTCACTTGGTGAGCTGGAGGACGATATGGACTACTCGACTTGGCTCGATTTTCCTTTTTCACCGTGTGCCACCGACAGGTTTTAAATTCCGTCCGTGCGCTTGAAACGTGAAAAAAACAGCCGATGCGGTGGCCAATAAATTTGTTCCATTGGCGACAGCCAATGAATTGCGAGGATGATCGACACAAGGGCAAAGCGGCAAATCCACCAATCTCGAGCGCATCATGGGAAAGAAGATCATCAGCGTCGGGCTCGATGCCCCCCATGTGGTACGTAGCACGGATGATCGCACCGTGGTGAGGTGCTCACGGTGGGTGCGGCGTAGCCTGACACGGAATCCGAGTCGAGCCATGCGTTCGTCGACAACTTCAAGAAGCAGCTGAAGGTGAAGATTCAGAGTCTTACCGACGACGAGATTGTGTTTGACTTGATCGGGATCGACGCTTCCATTGCGAACGCATTCCGCCGCATCTTGCTTGCAGAAGTCCCGACCATGGCCATCGAGCACGTGTACTTGTGGAACAACTCGTCCATTATCCAGGACGAGGTCCTCGCGCATCGACTTGGGTTGATTCCGCTGCAAGTGGACCCGCGCGAGTTCCAGTCCTTCCCAGGTATGCTTGTCGACTCTCGTGTACTCTATCATGTGACTTTATTCTCATGCTGGCGTCCAGAGCATGAAGAAGGGGAAGCCACCGATGAAAACACCCTTGTGTTCAAACTGGACGTGACATGCACCGCCGACCCATCGGACCCCAACGACATTTCGAAGGCCACGAACGCGTCTGTGTATTCGCGTCATCTCGAATGGGTGCCCCAAGGGCTCCAAGAAGAGCGCTTTGGGTCCATCCGCCCCGTGTCCGAGGACATCTTGATTGCCAAACTTCGACCTGGCCAAACTATTGCCCTCGAAGCGCATTGTCGCAAAGGCGTTGGCAAAGACCACGCCAAGTTTTCGCCCGTCGCGACTGCATCCTACCGCCTTTTGCCCGAGATCACGTTCCCTGCCCCTGTTGTCGGCGCCGATGCCAAGACCCTGCAGAAGACTTGCCCCATGAACGTGTTCGACATCGAAGACTTGGCGGCTGTTGCGGCACGGCCTCGGAACTGCACCATGTGCCGCGAATGCATCCGCGCGCCTGGCTGGAGCGACAAGGTCAAGATGGGCCGCGTATCGGACCACTTCATCTTTTCTGTCGAAACCGTTGGGATGCTGCCACCGGAGGACCTCCTCCCGGAAGCCATCAAGGTGCTCGTGGCAAAGTGCGACGTCGCGGTCGAGTCGTTGAACGCAGTCGACGACGAGCTGCGTGAGAACGCGGACGAAGACGAGGACGACGCGATGGAGTAGACATCGCAGAAGCAGACACAGTAGAGACATTAATATACACCACTTAAATGCACGACATCACTGGACATGCGTTGGTTCTCGAGTGCAAGCGATGCAAGAAATCGTTTAGACAGCTGGACTAGCGCATGCTGACAAGATGTGAGAGATGGTTTGATTCGTAGTTTAAGCGGGGTTTGCTTGGCCATACAACGGGGGGACGGGTTCAGGCTTCCGTGCCGCTGTTGATCACCAAGGTAGCAACACGGACGACCGCTATGAACGCACCAAACTGGGCAATCTCCCACAGAAGCGCTCGTCGGGCTTTGCTCTTGTCGACTTGGGCCTTCTTCTTGACGGCGAACATGGTGGCGGGTGATGAAATTGGTCGATTGGAGCGCGGGCACTCGGGAAGGTTGAGATTTCCGGATAAGTTTCAAGAATCCGGATGACTTGGTTCTTTCTGCCGCCAGCTCCGACAGCGCCTCCATGCAGGACGTGAAGGCGCGGTCAAGCTGCGGTGCCGACCGCTTCAGTAGACACTAAGCGAGATCATAAAGCCTTTGCGTGACGATGCTTGAGTACTGCTCTGTACGGGGCCGTGTTTGCCCCTCTTGGGCAACATGTCAACGTTTTGTAGTGTATCGTCGTGCCCACCACCACCGTGGTGTACCGCCATTCGCTGAGCTCAAAGGTTGACACGTTCCTTTCACTACATACGTAGGTATCGATGAGCTGGAGTTCCACCGCCGACTTCCCTCATAATTATCCGTCCGTCCATCGGTTTTGACTGTGCCTGGCTTGCATCACGTACGCAAGCGCATTGCGGCGCTGGCTGCGACACGCGCGATGGCAAACGTGCGGGTGGAGCCGAGCGATGGCGGGCGTCCACGGGCTGAAAGGGCAGACCGGGACCTGCTGACCTTTCGAAATTATCCGGGCGGTTACGGTCGTAGATCCGAAATCGTCCAATCATATCGCAGGGACTCGATTTTTGGCCAATCAGATGTCGTCTCGACAAGATCTGCCCGAAGATTGCAACCGTCCGCCCTTTGATGTGCAAGCGAACGGTCGTTCTCATTTTGCGTTCTTCCGTCAAGACGGCCGCGATGGACGAGCCGAACGTCGACACGGACCGCATGCGCCACCTAGCGTGCATCGCGACTGCCGTCATGGAGCCTGCACTCGTGAAGAACGAGCACCTGTCGCCAACGTCGCCGGCGGATGTGACCCGCGCGACATTCCCCCGCATCAAACCGCCTCCGTCAACTGCATCGTCCTACAACACGCCCTTTCACTCGTTTGACAACGTGGCTGCACCTAATCCACCGGGTACCCTTCCATCGCTTCATCTCCGCCATCACCACCCGTATCCGCACACTCCACTACAAGAAAAGCAAGCACAACATCTGCTATGGAAAGCGCAGGAGCAGGAGCTCATGCGCCGACAACGACAAATCATTGAACTCAAAGAAAAACAACAGGCTATCCGGCGACGCGCCGCCGCGGCGGTCGCGGCATCCGCGGCCAACCGCAACACATCTACGTCCGGCTCTCGCAAAGGCGCTCCTCAGCACCATCTCCAGGAATTGTTCATGCAACAACAACGAGAGCAACGAGAAAAAGAAGAAGCAATGCGTCGGAACCTTGTCCATCTCAACTACCACCGCATGCTTGCCGATGAAGGGCTCGAGCGACACCATCATGAAAAGTCGACCCAAGCCACAATGCAGCAAGCCTACCTCGTCGCTCAGAAGGCGACGGTGTTCGACGCAGCAATTATTCACGGCAGTGCCTCAGCCCCATCTATTCGCCAACGCTTGTCATCACCATCGGCATTAGCCCCCGTGAAGATGCTTTCCCCTTCAGCATACTCCCATGACGCAGTTGGTGCTTCTTCGTCCCCGTTGCCAATGCACCAAGATGGACATTCGCAGCGTTTTTCGCCCATTGCATCCCTCGTCGACGCCAGCCACTCGATCCTTCAATACATGCTCCCTCCCGTAGTGCCGCACCGCGCTGGGCAAAACATCAAGGACGTGTCGCTGAACGAGCTTCGTCCGCACTTCAACAAGCCCATGGCGGCCGTGGCGAAAGAACTCGGAGTGTGCATCACGCTCATGAAAAAGATCTGCCGCAAGAACGGACTCACGCGGTGGCCGCACCGTCGCATTCGAAGCCTTGTGAATCGCATTACGTCGCTACAAGTAGTCGCGGAGAGCGTCGACGGCGGCGAACGCAACCGATTCCACATCCTGATTGCAAACCTTCGCAAGGAACTCAGCGACGTGATTCAAAACCCCAATGGAAAAAGCCGCAAAGCACGGGGGTACGAGCGAAAGAAGGAAAACGCAGGCGAAAACGACCACAGCGACGACGGTGACCAGTCTAGCAACAGCAGCAGCAGCCGGCCGGCAACTCCCCGTGACGTGGACGATGAGGAAGATGAGGTCGACTTGTGTTGCCAGGAAGAACTGGACGGCAGCGGACCAGGCGCAGCGATCCCTGGACGGATCATGCTGCCCTTCCAGGGTAGTGGAAAACCATCCCTGCCGTCGCTCTTTCACGCGGCTCGTGAAGCGTAAGAATTAGATGCAGTAACGTGGAGTTGCATGGTTTCGGTAGCACAGTATCGCTATGCTTGACGGCAGCGACCATCCCCACCGTTTCCGACGCTTCATTACAGAAGGTCGCAACAGTTCGCCGACTGAAAACTCCCCGCCACGCATTATCGCGCGCATTGCTGCCGTCGTGGAATTCCGAGGCTTCAACTTGTTGAAGAGGAAGTGGTCGGTCAAAAGGTTGCATCCAGACATGCCACGTTATGAGGATCGTGGCCGCGTCGCATCCTGAGCTATCGCAACTGGCATTTGCTCAAGTTGTCGGATTTGCTGCTCCAACGCTACCCGCCATGCACTGCACTTGCAACGCGTTCCTCTAGTCGACGGGTCTTTTGTTTCGAGGATGGGACTTGTTCCACCAAGTCGCATGCATAAGAGCGACGCACCCATTTGTTGTTGGGCAAGGTGTATAATTACGACAAATTCCTTTCACGGACAGTGGCGAAGCAGGGCATGCATGAGGCAGTGTACAACCATCGATACAGATCTATTGAGGCGGTGTCAAACGAACCATGCGCCAGTGTAAACACCACGCCACTGGTGAACCCGTCTGCAAACTACGTGGCCGCGGACGAGGGGCATTCGTTTCGGCCATGGCGAGCTCGACGAAACAATCTCACACGATGGACTGCAGCGAGGGGTCTTATCTGCGAAAGTTGTTCATTTCCTCGTGAAAATAATCCAACGCAATGAGGAGACCAGCGTAGCCCATGTGCGAGCGGAACGTGATCGTACGGTAGAAGGGCAGCCCAGCAATCGCGACGGCAGCCCCAGCATTCAAAAAGTCTTCTTCTCCCCGAAGCTGCTCGATCGTTGTCTTGACTCCTTGGTACGCCAAGAAAAACCTACACGTTGCATGCATGGTGCGTCAGTGAGATGAATCGAATGGACGATACGACGTACGCGCCAAATACGGCGCCAGTGGTGCCGGCTGTGCGCGCGGCGCCAAGAAGAGCTTTGGAGTTCACACTTCCATGCTTGGTGTGATGACTTTGGAAGGCCCCCACTATCGTATCCATTTGTGTCAGTCACCTCAAAGCAACGGCATGCACACGTACCAAAACCAAATGTCGCGCCAGTCGTCGAGCCGACCAAGCCACCAAACAGGACTTTGTTGCGAAGCAGCTCCATGTTGAAAGGCTTAGCAGGTCGCTGTGCTGTTTCGGCGGCTTTCTCGTTGCTCGTCGACTTGCCCGCCGTAGGCGCTGCATCATCGTCGTACGACGCCCACACTTCACGTCGACCCATCACGGTGACACAATTCGAGTGACAATGCACATTAAATGCAAGAGGATTTCTGAAATGTGATACCTTAAAATATGTGTTTTGAAAAACATGTATTGTGGGGGAGTCTCTCGTTTAAACCAAAGCCGAGGTGCGAAGACGGGAGCACCGAGGCGGCAACTAGGTCGTGGCCATGCATAGCAGTCGCGCTCACGAGTAAGACGGCACGTAGAGGGTATGTACATTCGGCACGTACGCGCCATGAAGGTTGAATTTGAGAATTGAATCATTCCCCGTTCTTGCAGATCAAGTACGAGCTGGACGAGTGTGAGGTCGGATTTCCATCTCAACGTACGAGTGCATTCATGTGCACCCATGAACACTGCAAAAGACATAGGGTGGACCGGTCGCTCAGAGCTGGGAGTGGCGTCGCTGCCGTCGTCGCCAACGCACGAAGACGAACATGTATCTACCATCCAGTAGAGAGGTCACACAACAATAACTATCATACCACAAGGGCGAGACTTACATTCCCACGGCCGTGCCGAGGACAAGCCCAGCACTCGCGGCAGACTTGCGCGCTCGCAACGTCAACTGTCCATGTCGGGCAAATGCACGCTGTGCGTCCTTGTCTGTAGGCAACATGTTGAGACTTGGTGAAGGTTCATGGGCACGTACAGTAGGCGTATCCTCCGATGGACATGGTGCACAATGCTGGGGCCATGATGGGGTCGTCGGTCATGTCGGCAAAGCGCACATCGATAGCCACACCATCTTGCCGCGGCAGAGACGGCACACCGATGATCTCACCCTGTCTTCGACCACAATCTTCAGCCAATCAGACATCGTGGTGCATCGTACAATGTACGTTCAATCGTACTATATGTTCGGTCTCGTACATCCATAGCAACAAATTGCTGAATGAAACCGTCTGGATAATGGATGAAATCAAGGCGTCGCTGCTCTCGAGGCGGGTGTGCCGTTGGATGCGTGGCTGACTAACCGCTTTGCAGCATGACAACTATCCCGTCAAGTATGTGTTGCCGCTTTTGTCGAATGCATGGACTCCTCATTTTGTCGCCACGCGTTGGCAAGTGTGAACTGTCGATGGCTCATTCTACCGAATGCAAAGTCCCAGTGCGATTTCATATGATGCAGGGTAAGCCACTCGCTCGTGGGAAGTCTTGCAAGACTAGCCCCAGTGGGGATCGGGTTCAGGCACAAGCCCACGGAAAGAGAAATGGATTTGTTCAAGAGCAGTCTTATGCATCACACCGCCAACGAATTAGTTGCTCATGTGCTTTTTGTTCTCCAAGAACCCTTGAATGGAGGCTTTGCCCAAGGGGTTGGAAAAGCAAAAGGCCTGGATGCGCTTCATGATGGGCGTGTTCAATTCCTACGACAAAAAAAGCGTCTGTCTGCATGTCATCCCGACAACCAACACGAATTTCGCTACCTCTGGGATCTCGTCTTTGCCCGAAATGAAATTGAAGATGTCGATCGTTTCGCGGTTCAAAATGTCTTCGTACTGCTGTAACTCGTCCGCCGTCAGCGTCCACACGTTCTCACTCGCCCATCGTCCCATCAGCAAGTCCACTTCCAACCTACGTGTGGACTGACGAGATGACGCTCCTCGTGCGGGTCACGTATGGGAGCCAATACGCACCATCCACGTTGCCTGCTTCGGTAAATCACCCGCTTGCGGTTTGCGGTATCTGCGTCAATGTCGACTTCGCCCTGGCTACATGACAACAATATATGAGCGTGATGGAGTCAACCACTGCCCGTTGGAGAGTGTGTGCACCTGGCGGCGGGAAACTCTGTGCGTCGACCGAAGTGCTCCTTGCGCATTTGAACGTAGCGTTCCTGCACTCGGTTCTCTTGAACTTCAGTGATCTTAAGGTGGTCGAGAGACTCGGAGAAGCACCGAACGGTCGCGCTGTCCCCTCTCAGCACAACAGAGGCAACTCGCGGAACGGCGCGGCAGGCAATCACACGGAACATGGTGACCTTGCAAGCGTGAATGCCACCGAAGGGACAGTCCGGATACGAGCTCATCCGGATAACGATGCGTGCATTTCGAGACGTGAATTTCCGATGCCAGGGACGACGGGTGCAAGGCGAATGAGCCAAATCTTCACGCAAATGGCGGCAACGTGCCCCGTGGATGTACGTGACTGTGCTTGATCCAGTGAGATAACTGAGCGATCTTGGCGTCACGACGTAGATCCAAGTCTACGGTGCGTGTGTGGCGAACATCGAAGGCGGTGTCAACCGGGATGCATGCGCAACGGAATTCGCCAAGCTGCGCCAGTGTTTCCAGCGCGCAGCGGTGCGTGTGCCTTTGTGGGTTCTGAATGACCACATGACGTGACTTGGTTTTGTTGTAGGCGAACGCAGCGAAAAAGTAGGGACGGTTGGAACCCTACCTGGTCTACGCTCGAATTGCTTTCATAAACATTCTTGCAACGACCGTTCTTTCTCCACTCTAGCAAGTCCCACGCGATGCTTGCCATGACACGCTGTCAGCTTGTGGCGCTCGACCACGTCGCACTTGGTCTGAAGTGGCCATTTCCTGTGAATACACATGCACTAGAGCAGTCGTAGAGGCAATGCCACCGTTGAACTGTGCAGGTTCTCCATGTTAACTGAGCGCAATGCCGCCAACTGGGGAGTATGTTGGCATCGGGGGCCAGCGGAGCGACATGGTGTTCGCTGCATGAGAGCAATCACGTTATTGGGAGGGCACATTTGCCGCAACCGCTGCATGGCATGAGAAAGAAATAGAACGCAGGGGCATTAACTTAACGTTCGTATCTTCCTCATCCAAAGTTGGGGACGAATATCCCAATGAGAATCAAAATGGTCGCCAAGACCGCAATAGCAATATACATCTTGCACAGCTACACAACACAAGCGGGCCGTCAGCCAGGTCCATCCAGTCAGGATTTGCGCACGTACCTTTTTCTTGTTCTTGTTCACCATTTCGGCTTTGGCCGTTTGCGCGCGCAGTGCCGCTGTCCCGCCCTCGATGTCGTCGCCAAGGTGGTCGAGAAGGTGGTTCTGGCTTTGCACTTCACCGTGAATGCCACGTGCGTTCTGGTGTAGTCGCTTTGCACCAGCGTACACGTCGTCGAGGTCAGCATCTTGGTCGAATTGCGAGTATGGGTTGCGCTGTTGCTGCTGGCCAGGTTGGTACGCCATGATGCAGCACGAGGCTTCAGGCAAAATTGCAGGATATTCGTTGCTAATTCTCGCAGCAATTGGTATCCTTTCTAATATGATAATATCGAAACACAAAGGGAATTGATTATCCTATTCCAAAATACTCGGAAACGCGAAGGGTTTGGCATAAATGCTATAATTTTGCAAAGGTTATTGAATGCGCGGGAAAGGCATCCCTGCGCTGTTGGCACTGGCTTGTCGACGAATGATGGGAGAGGGCCGTGCAACATTCCGCGTGCAAGCGCACACACATCGCTATATGCATGGGAAGGAGGGGGTTCTGCATGCTACAAGAAGGACTTGACCGCCCTCATGGCTGGTCGTATCCAGTGCCCAGACTTCCAGTTGAGCAGACCTTGGAGCTTCCGCTCGGGCCTCTTCCACAGCGACTCGGTCACAGCCTCGCTGTGCTTCGTGAGGCGGGTGTACTCGTCTTTTAACTGGGACCGGAGCGTCGAATTTGTCGAGTACAGAAACACCTACGCAAGATGTGTGAGATGTCGATGGCCGAGTCGATCCGACAAAGGGACGGTAGCTCACCTGAGACTCGAGGTCGCGTCCGTACGATCGCTGACCGAAGTTGGAGCTGCCAACCACGGTCAACGCTTCGTCGTCATGTTGGATCCACATGCCTTTGGCATGAAAGGTCCATGCGTCTCGGTTATATTCACGCAATGTAAGTGGGGAGTCGGCAAATCGGTGGTAGAATTCCCCTTCGATGAGGGAATACGCCATCGGCAACGCTCCTACCAACACACACAACTATGAGCAACCACCCATCCACACGCACAGCAAAGAGCCTCCCGTTGACGCCATCTTTCGTCGGGAAACGTACCTTTGATGCCATTGCCATTGAAGAAGCCGTTCGCAGAAGGCGCGGCAGTCACCACGTCCAAGTGAAATGCTCGTTCCGCCAGCAATCGCATAAGAAACGGAGGAAAGTTGAGATATCCAGACGCGATGCCGATACGACTGGCACTGGGTAATCGGTGGAGGACATGGGATAGTGTGTCCTCGTCATGGAGAATTTCGAGTGGAGAAAACTGGATGGTCGGGATAGCCATGGCGTCGGTGGTCCATCGAGGGGTAGTAGGCTGATAGTCTTGTAGAGAGAGAAGGGCTGAAGCGAAATCCGCATGAGTCGTCTTTGGCGGCACGATTTTGTTCGTCGCCATGGCGCCGACAGAAGCCTTGGACGAGGTTGCCCCTGTCGTGCATGGAACGAGTTGAACGTGGTGAGCGTGGTTGGTCAGAATCTGCGGGAATCGACTGGGTCAATGGCTGAAGTAGAACGAGAACGACTTGCGTACCTGGACAAAGGTGTGGTAAAACTCGGCCAAGTTGGCGTTGTACAACTGCAAGTATCGGTCTTGGCGCTGAGTGAAGTAGTCGCCGCTGAGGTTGGCGCCGCTCATGATGAGTGTATCATCGCAGAGGTATACTTTGGTATGGGAGACTCCGATCGTTTCATCAAAAGGCGGCGGCAAAAAACCCCATCGGTCGAGTTGGGGTACGCGGTACAGATGCAACGATACCTTTGACGGAAAGGTGGCAAGGAGCGGTGTCAGGACGGCAACAGAGCTCGTTGGCCCACCACGCTGGCCACGGGAGTAGTCCAACACGATAGAAACCTGAAGGGATGGATTGTCTTGACACGCATCTTGCAACGCTTGCACCAACCGACGACTGAGTGCGTCGTTCCCAATGTACAACGACGAAATCGAGATGCGCTTCTTGGCGCGATGAATGTTCTGCAGCAGTTGGTTGTAGAAGTCCGTGGGAGAATGCAGAATCGTAACATCGCTTCCATTAAGAGGGAACGAGGGCGTGGACTCACGGAGATCATCGATGACATCGCCGATGGCGGACGCATCCGGAGCTGCCGGGCCCATGTCGAATGGCGACAACCGCGGTCAACGTGGCAAATTTCGAAGTTCGAAGGCACTTTGGCGCGCTGTGGTTGGTTCAACTTCAATGGTTTTTTCATTTTATAACCTCTATTTATTTATATAGATACCGAGAACGCTCGCGACAACTCCAGCACATGGGAAAATTGTCGTGACCTGCAGGAATGTATACTTCGTGCGCTCGCGAAAAACCTCCAAAATAGCATACCGATCGCCCATTGGTCGATGTAATGGCCAATCAACGCGAGGCCCGCCATTGTGTCCTTTGCCCCTCGTGCCAAGCAACTCGTCGAGGACGACGATGCTGTGGCCGCGAGAACACTTCCGAGTCGCTTTCAAGCAGGTCGTGAGCGACGCGATTGACACACATGGCGCTAGCGTTCTTCTTCTTGTGGCACTGGACGTAGACTCTATCGCTGCTGTCTCCATCTTGACGTCGCTCTTGCAATCCGAAATGGTGGCGTATTCGATGGTGCCTGTGGCAGGGTACAAGCAAATGGCGAACATGGTGTTTTCCACCGAGATTCGCTCCATCTTCCTCATCAACTGTGGTGCCATGATCGATGTCTACAGCACCCTGAAAATCACGGACCAAAAGGTGTACGTGATCGACAGTCACCGCCCACTGCACCTTGCCAACGTGTACGATCGTCATGGCACCGTCGTGCTGTTTGACGACGAAGGCCAAGCAGAAGGCGATTTCCCCGATGACGGCTCGGACATTGCCGCCATCGAGCAAGAGGAAGAAGACGACGATGACGCGGACCGCGAGATTGACAGCGACGACGACGACAGTGAAGCAGAAGCAGACCTCACAGATACGGCAACCGCACGTGGCAAGAGAAAGCGCACCGAATCGAATGGTTCTCTCACAAGTGACGATGGCGGCGACGACGGCGAAGGTGCTGACGACGGAAATGACGTCGACGAGCCCGGCGACAGTACCAACGACCCTGATCGAGACGATGAAGGTGGTCATGCCGTGAATATGGACGAGCCTCGCTCAGAGGACGAAGGCTCTGTGGATAATGAGGCACAAGATGGCGAACCGGAAGTCGAACAAGTGCCCCCCGCTGCCTTCCCGGACAAGCACCTTCCATCCAAGCGGTACGTGTGATGCCATCGACCCTTTGTCATGCATGGTGGGTGATGGAGCGTGTAGCAAACGGCGGCTGGACATTCTGCAGTACTACCGCGGATCGTTCCATGGCGCACCAGCCGCCACGCTGGTGTACGAACTCGCGAGTCAGCTCAACATGGCAACACAAGAAAAGGTGTGGTATGCGATCGTCGGTCTCACCAAGCAATTCGTGGCTCAACAAATCGACGCCGACAACTACAACATGCTCGTGCAAAAGTTCCAAGACGAAGTGCTTGCGTTGCCAGCCAACGGCGGCAGCAACGACATCGTCACAGACGTCGACGGCACCATTTTGCCCACTGGTACGACCGATCTGTCGACAATCTCGTGTCGATCGTGCCTTTGTAGTGCAAAATGGTGCGATTGCATTCGAAGAAGAGTATCGATTCATGTTGTACAGGCACTGGTCGCTATACGAGTCCATGTACTACTCCAATTACGTCGCGGCCAAGCTCAAGACCTGGCAAGCTGCAGGTAAGTTGGCCGACATCGATGGGCATCGCGTCTGGGTGTGGTGGAGGCGCGCTTGCGAGTGCTGCACTTCTTGCACGGAAACAAAGCATTTACGACGCTGTACAACTCGTTCTTATGGTAGGGAAAGACGAGCTCGAGGTGTTTTTGGCCCGGATGGGACTCAGTCTCAAGGAATGTCAACAACGGTATGAATGTGGACGCCATGGGCCAGCGTCGGGACGACCACCCCCACCTACGCACACTTCCCGTGGCCCATCCTCCATCTCATGCGTCGTCGTGCGGTAGCTTCACTTTCATGTCCCGCGAACTCAAGCAAACGTTGCGAGACAAGTGCCGCGATATCGCGCCGGAATTCGGCCTCGACGAGTTGTTTTACGGATCGTTCCGCCGTCAATTCGGTATGGCATTGTATGCTGACACCGACCCAGCTCTCTCCATGCCTGAGGCTTCGATGGTGATGTCCGTGTTCGGATAGAGTTCAAGTATCAGTGGTGCGCGGCGGACGTGTTCCATGGCCTGTCCGCCCTGCTGGACGCACCTCTCCACGTGGCCCAGAAAGCTTTGGCTGATCATGTACCTGATGCTTTGCAAGGCATCTACGACGAACCGACAGAAACGAGCGGCGATGGCGCGCCGTCGGCACCCTCACTGCCGTACTGGCAACACAGCTTTCATCTCGCAATGGATGCGTTGCCATGGTACGTCATGAAGAGCGCATGTATCGTCGAGGGGCGTTCGTTTCTGCTCACGTTTGCCATACATGTGCTCACACTGTCTAGCTCGTCGACGCGGTCGTGCGTGCTGATGGAACGAGGCATGCACATGGCGATGCAACTGCAACAAGCAATCGTCCATCTCGGCATATCGATCCTCGATCGCAAGCTCTTGGTTCGGGTCAAGCACTTTCGATACGTGTGCCTTCGCCTGTCAGAAGAAGAGGAGCTGCTGTTCAGTCATCCCTCGACGCTGTCCAAGCTCGCGCTCTTCCTCGTCGACGTCCATCGCGAACAAGGCAAGTGGATCGGCAAACACGCCGCGCCGTTTGTCCTCGTTGCGCACGTCAAAGCCCGCAACGTGTACCTCGTCGTGGGTGTGACCTGTCCAGAGCGCGCGGGCGACATCCACCGCAAGTAAGTTTGTCGCGTCCATGGTGTACACAGTCGGCTCGACCGTTCGAGTCGAACCAACTGGGCAGCCACCGGGTGTGCATTGCTGTGGTGCTGACGTGCGTTTGTAGCACGTTGGGGACGGCGTTTGCGCTGGCCGCGGCGGAAACCGGCGCGTTGTCAACGTACGATGGGTTCGAGACGACTGTGATGGAGCTCCGCATGGACGACATCCACGTGTTTATTGAGCAACTGCACAACGTAATGGACGCCTAGTCGTGATCCGCGTAACATGGACGATGGTTCGATCCGTCGAAAGATGCACGAAAACAATCGGCCACGAAAGCCCACGCAGGCAGCGCCAAACCACAGCGTTGCCACGCCTCGACGAAGATGGAGAGGCATCGCGTTCGCGTCCGAGGGTTTCAACATCGGAAGGACGCTTTTCATGGACCATGCGAGCGTGCGTCGAGTGGCGGACCTGGCACTGTTTGCATCTCCCATCCCATATGCAGACATGCACAGAGCGCCATCGCAATCGTGCATTCGGACTCACGACATCAGTCCGTCGAGCGCGCCACTTGCTCAGTGTCGACAAAGTTGGAGATGGCGAGACGACTTCCTATTCAATTAAGTAAGCCAGCTTGTCCACGAGCGCTTGGCGAGGTCCATCCAACGTCTTGAAACGTTTCCATCCAGCGAGAAATTGCCGGAGAAGCGGTTCGTACAGATTGGTGTTCCAAAGCATGGGATGGATGTGGCCAGCTTGGCACAGGATGCGGCTGGCCATGGCAAAGTCTTCTTCGACCACAAAGCCAACCACAAGGTGCAACGCACTCGTCAACGCGTGATGGACTAGCGCGTCCGACGCACTGCGTTGTGCCGCCAATCGATCGACACGATGGCAGTGCAGGACGAAGCGCTCCCATGGCACTTGCGGCCACATTTGAAGTTCTTGCAGCGAAAAGCGCACGAGGACCAATTCAACGTGCGAACCCGTGAGGTTGGCCCAGTCGAGTTGGCGCAGCGCAGCCTTGTGCACGCGTTCAAAAGGGCTCAACAACGCCACCGCCGTGAACCCAAATGTCGTCAAGAATCGGAAGGCGGCGGCTTCCGTGAGGCTAGCGTACGCGCTCGGTGTGTTGCGGAGCAACGCATCCAATGCAGGTTCACACCAGTGCCGGCGTTTCCAAAGACTGTCCCACAAGTCACGGCCACCTGCCAGTGTCGTCTCTGGCGCTGCGCTTGGCACCACATCCTCATCTAACTCGATCGTCTCGATCAAGGCACGGCGGAGTTGCATTGGCCATGACGTCGACGCTGGAGCACGCGACGACACGTGCGTGCTTTCCCACTGGATCAACAACCGGGCTAAGCCTTCATTCAGGTCAGGCGAGTCGGCGACGGCTTCCAGCGCGAGGGCAAACACAGCGGGGAAGTCCGTTGTGACTTGGCTCTGATGCTGTTTCCAGTTGATGGCGCCGTGGAGGTCGTACAGCATGGCGACAATCGACGCGGACGGGAGGTTCCAGGCATCGCAAACGGTGGTCGGAACAATGTCGTGCAGCCACTTGAGCAACAGGACCGTAGTCGAGGACAGCTCGACACCGTCCAACCACGAAAGCACGGTCGAGCAAAACAAAGTCTCGAGAGGCTCGAGATCGCGGAGCTTCATCGGCGACGGAAGCGACACCGCGCAGGGCTCCGCCGTCGACGTCCACTTCATGACCAAGTACTCGTACACTTTATTGCCCTTGGGCGTCGACGCGTGATCGACGTCATGGAGAGTCGGCACGTGCGCGCTCAAGAAGTCGGCAACGTGTCGCTGGAACAAAGGCAGGTGGTCGCGATCGTGGTCCAGCGCCGACGTTAGTTGCAGCAGTGTTCGAACTTGGCGCAAAGACAGCCCGCGCGAGCACGTGTCTGCGATAACCTGGTCAAACGGTGGCGTCGACGCATCTTTTGCTGGCGCCATGGCGCTCATGACAAGTGTCGGTGAGAGCGGGACATTTGCTGCGTCGACAAACGCCAGCAACGTGCTCCACAACACGTGCGTCTCGAGCACTGGGACCCCTTCCGACCGACCAGGTCCTGGTCGGCCTAGCACCATGTTGTACAAGTCACACACGATCTCTTGGCGTTTGGGAGGCGTCAGGCGTAGTGGAAACGATCGACGGCTCTGAAATGTGTAGCCATACAACGGCTCAAGTGGAAGCGACGCCACCACAGGCAATCCCACAAAGTGCTGGACCAACATCACGACGTGGTCCGTCGTCAATCCTGCCAAGAACGGCCGCGCGGCGTCGTACGCTTTCTCGGGGCACGTTTCGTGCGTCCAGAGCATGTCGATATAGATCATGATCAGGGCACTGGCAGGCACACCATGCAGTTTGGAGAGGAGCATGGCCAACATCTTGATGGACGAGCCAGACACGACGGGAATCGCGGCTTGCACCGCGAGCGCGACGTCCGGAGGGGACGTCACAGGCCCGCAAAAGTGCGCGAGATCGATGGATACGCCAGACTCGCGGAGTTTCTTTGCGCACGCTATGAACAACTTGAGACGGTCGACTGGGATGCACTCGTCCAGGTGCGGACGTCGCTTCTGGCATGCCAAGCAAAGGCGCCACAAATACTCCCACGCGATCGAGTCGTACGGGTTCACACGGTTCCATGTCGAGTGCAGCAGCCGCTGGCTCAACGCGTCCGGCTGCGACAAGGTGAGCTCCAGCAACGTCTGCCCGTTCTCGTCCACGGGCAGCTGCGCTTTTTTGAGCTCGACATCGCGAGTCGCCACACGATCGGCGTCGACGACCAACGACTCGAGAAACTCAACACACAACTCCCATCGGTGCATGCGATACTGATCACACAGTGCAAACACCATCGAGCGGTGGGAGTCGTCTTCATGCAGGACCGTCACAAGCGCGGCGTACCGATACACGACGTCCACTTCAAAGCGAGAGCGATCCACGGACGGATGCAACGCTTCGAGGGCGTCGAGGTCGGCCGCTTGCTTGGACGCCACTTGCAGCGACGCAAAGTGACCTGCCAGGTCGACGTGGTTGCCGAACGTAAAGAAGTCATGCGCCACTTGCGCCAATTCGGTTTGGGCAGTCGGGTTCGCCTCGAGACCGGCACATGCGGCCACCCAGATCTCGTACGCTTGCGAGACAGGTAGAGTTTCGAGATGAGAGACAGCCATATCAACGTCACCAGTCTGCAGGAGCGAAGCCGCGAGTTGCCCCACCACGCGAGGGAATGGACGTGCAGCGATGAGGTTTTGATCGCGCTGGTCGGCGCCGTCTTTGCACAACGCGTCAACGATGTGGCTGCTGTGGTCCAGACTGGTTGAAAACGCCAGAAGCAACTGCATCGTAGCCTTGAGAGACTGCTGGAGGAGTCGCGGCTGCATGTGCACTACTTCTTGGTGCACAGTGAGTTGATCGTACAGCCAGTCGGCGATGGGTATTTTGTCGTCCGACTTTTCAAGTGCCACGTCGGCATCCGTGAGCTGGAGGACAGTCATGGCTTGCACAACCGCATCCAGTTGCTTGGCGGATTCGAGCAACGCGAGAAACGACGACGCGTCCGATACAACCACGAGCGCAGCGCGGCAGAGGTCTCGTCGCGCCTCGTAATGCCCCCCAGACAGAGCGGCCAAATCCAACGCGAGCGACGTGGCTTGCGCCACATACGCGTCCTTGTCGTGGCGGTGGTTCAACTTTCCAAGCATCGAAATCGTGAGTTGAATGGCTTCCGCAACGTGGCCGGTCTGCAGGTGCGCGTACGCTGCCCAGATCCACAATTGAAGCTCGTGTTCCGTCAAGTCCAACCATTTTGCCACTTTCGACAGTTGCGCAACGTGTTGGAGGCATTCATGGGGCCGTTGCAGTAGCAATTCCTGGACGAACGCGAGTCTGTCGGTCGGGGAAAGCAACAAGATGGATGCAGGCGGGATTGGATGCCCTTGGCATTGTTCCAGCCATTGAGTGGCGTCGAGAATGGCCGTGTAGTCCGAGTAGTCGTCGATGCCGTCGTTGGTCGAGTCGGAGGCGGCCCACGCAAAATATGTCAGCGCCAGGGACACTTCAGGGGACGTCGACGATGCCGCGTTTTTGAAATGAGCTTTGGCGGCATCGACGAGAAGGAGCGGGTCGGGGCACAACTGGCGAAGCTGGGGCGATGCGTCTGTGGCCGCGGACAACAGCGTCTTCATGACGAGGGCGTGGGTCGCATCGGTCGACAGAGCCATCGGAAACGCGTGTTCCTGAAGTTGTAACATGTCGTCCAGCACCTTTTCCACGTTGAGAGGACCTGTCGAGGTGGCTGCTACTTGGCAGCAATGTACGACAAGATCGGCTGCCAACGAGCCCGACGATGCACCGGCCCGAAGCGTTTTCGGGCTTCTGTACACGCCGTAAGATGCCAAGATCTCCATGCCAGTCATCAAATGCTCCAACGTATCCGCTTGGTCTTGTAGCGAAGGGTTCGGGAGTTGTTTCGGCAGGGTTTGAAACATGGACCATGCGCACTCGATGAAGTCTTGGGATTCGCTACAAAACACGGCCGAGCGAGTGAGTCAAGCCTTGACAGCTATCCATTTTCAGCGAGATTTTTCAGCCACACGTCATCCTTCAAACCATTCTGCCAGGTTGTAGTCAGTCGACGTACTCGTGCTTTGCGTCGCCATCGGGACCATCGAGAACAAATCCAAAGCAGCATGCAAGCACAACTGTCACGAGGGTGGGCATGTCTCGAAAGTATCGCGAGCTGGGCGCGTTCGACGCAATCGGGCTGCTAGCTGCAACGATGGTCGATGCCCACATCAAGTTGGTCAAGAGGGTCTTGTCCATGGAGATAATGTAAGCACACAAGTCCCCTTCCGTGATGTAGCCGCGGTGCAGGAGGGTTCGGAGCTTGTCCGACGTTGCGTCGTTCTGGCGAACCATCTCGATCTTTGCCTGGGGGGACGCCCCGGTGGCCTCTTGGTGCTGCCACTCTTGAATCGTCCACGTCGGCGTTAGCTCAAACTCGTACACGAACAGGTGCAACTCGTCAAACTCGCGCTGCAGCTTGGCCAGCCCTTCGTGCATAGACTCGATAGAGAGAGCTACGTCAAACGCACAGCGTGACTAAACTCGACAAATCACCAAGGAACCAGGCGACTCACCACGTTTGTTGTTCGAGTTGCCGCCGATACACCGCCATGCCAGCGCCAGAAGCGCACATGCGTCTTCGAGCAACCCGAACAAGCTGTCCATTTCAAAGCACCGAGCTGCAAACCAATCGCCAACGGCTTTGCGACGAGATTCGATGCCACCGACGGACGAAAGCGCGTCGTTATACGAGGCAACGACCGCCAGTGTCACGTCCGGTGCGACGCGAAGTGGCGCTGGCACAATACTGACCCCTACAATGTCGTCCACTTCAGGCCGTACACATGCCACCTGGACATCGACGGGACATAGTTTGTACCATCGCTTCCAAGGGAGTAGGAAGGAATAGGGACATCGGCGGCGTTGGACCCAGTCGATGGAATCGCTGGCAGCAAGTGCTGAAATGCCCGCGGTGGGATGGAAGCCGGCAGCGCGCTGAGAATCGCCAACCGATGAGGAAGCACGTGGTAGCCATGCCGTGCCATCAGCACCTGTCACGCATGGACATAGCAACCAGGACTCGGCGGTTGAACGTTCTCGTACCGTCAGCGCCGCGATGCGACCGGCCGTCGCCAACTCGATGGCAATGTCGAGCCAGGACACGTCCAGATAGTGCTGGAACGATGCCACGTCAAAGCAGTCGGCCAAGTCGGCCATGGCGCGCGTCAAGTCAAACGCAGCGTCGTGCAACTCGTTGCTGTTGTCAGCCGCCACAAGTTGCAAAAACGTTTCCAACCGATCCAGCAATTGCTGCAGACCCACGTCGGCCGCGTCCAGCGACAGCCCAAACGACCACACGCTATGGCAAGCTGCAGGAGTGTCTAGAACGCACTGCTTGATCGTGTCGAGTGTCCATGATTTGTCGCAAAGGTTGGTCGCATGGGCTGTCAACACAACGTCGAGATCGTGCTCGAGCTGCGTTGGCGGCAGCGTCGGCGAGCGCTGCACAAACTGTTGCCATGCCGCTTTGTGCACGATATCCGCGTCCAGCGAATGCTGTGCCGCCAGCGCCAACGCGTCGGAAAAGCGACCACTGGCCACGTGGCGTAAAAACACAACCTATCGCAAAAAACGCGCGGGGTCACTTCGACAGAGATACCGACAGGGTATCGTACATGGACAGGGACGTTTTCATACTCCACCACTGTCCATAGCGCCTTGGGTTCGTCGCGGCATACGAGATGGTAAAATCGAGTGCAGGACCTCGCCACCAACGCGTGACTTGTGGTAGCTGGTGCAGAGGAATCGACGACGGGGGCACGAGTTGCGGCGAGGGAGTCGTCGTGGATGGTGCACACGACGGGGGCCGCGTGGGACGCAACGACAGTCACCAGTTGATGTGGATCGAACCAGCAGATACTGCGCACCGGCGCCTCACCAACCAGCGTCCAAGGCACAATCGTCGCGCACGTGTCGACCTGGAACCGTCGAGACAAAGCGACATGAGCCACGAATGGGCGATGGCAGCAACCACAACAGACAAGAAGGAAGCGCGACATGGAAGACATGGGCATGGCAGCACAAGATCGCATGGCAAGTGCAAGACGTGAAGAAAATCGTAGCCGACGTGAGAACGTACCGTCCGAATGGAGACGTGACCTGAACTGTCGCGGAGGGCGACGAGGCGGGTGTCTGGGGAAAGGACTACGTCTTGGATGCAGCCTGGATAGAGTTGCTCGGCAGACGACAGCAACGACCACCACGACGAAGTCGAGTCGGTCTTTGCTCCGTTGTCAGTGATGGTGTTGTCGTGAGCGAGGACGGTCGAGTAGTGCAACAGCTCGGACGATTCGTCGTGAATGTTCCAGATACTGAGACTCGATCCATGCTCCATGTCCTTTGCGTTGCTGCGAATGCCGCCTGCGAGGACAAGGAGTCGTCCGTCGGCGTGGAAGTCGCACGCTGTGAGAGTCGGATGCGATTGCGACACTTGTGCCAAGTGCTGGATCGTGTCGTGCGCACTTTGGACACGGACGCGGCACACCGATCCATCAACACAAACGACAAGCAGAACGAATTCAAACAAGGAGGCACTGGCAACACGGCTCTTGACAAGGAATGACTTCCACGCGGAAGACGGAAGGTCCACTGTCCGGGACAAAATAGCTTCACCCCCGTAATACGCATGAAGTGTTTTCCCGGACGTCCACCCCACCACAACCATGCCGTCGAGGCTTAATGACGCGCTGGACGGGTCGCATGGAAGTGAGATGACTTCTCCATCGCCTTGCACGAGGACACACGACTTGGCAATCGAGACCATGAACGAAGAAGATTCACCATCGTATTCCTCTACGGAAGCTAGAACGCGAATGACATCTGAAGCATCATGTGCTGGAAGCGTGCACTCGAAGAGCTCCCTTGGATCGAGCATAGTCGCAGCGGCTGCAGCGGCGATGGCAATGGAATTGCCAGACTTAAACTCAAATGTGGGTGCATAAATGACCTCATAGTAGGCTTTCTTTATCCTTTTTAAATTATTACAATTTTTAATATTGTATTAATACACTTTTACGTATGCGGATTTACTTCTCAGTCATTTTTCGTGATTATAGCCAATCAATTGCTGCCACATTTGTCCTCAACAAACCTTGGCTCTGGAGCTCCATCAACGAGAAGGGGCAACTCCTCAAGTATTACCATTTGTACACAAACATATAGAGGGGCAAGCCGTGAATTCACATCTTTCTAACCACACGATCTCAATTACTGCATTTTCAGTCGCTGCACCATGTGCTGATCAACTTTGTAGAATTGGATTGGCTTAAAATATTCCATTTTGAACCTTCCCATTGGACAAAAATGAAAAATGAAACACTTCCGGATATTTTGCGGCTTTGGATCGTTCTGCCATTTCAATCGCAATTTGTGCCCACTTCGAGAGACACGATGTCGCGAGGGGGAATCGACTTCTCCGTGGACAGCATCCCAAGCAACTCGTACGCGTACACGAACTGCGTGTACACGACGAGTGAAGACTTTGTGGCGCTCGTGAACCTGTGTCCGCGCGGCGTAACGACGAAAGAACAGATCCAAGAGTTTGGGCTGAATGTGTGGGTGAACCAAAAGTTTGTATTTGCTGCCAAACCGCTGCGGGAGATGGGGCCAAAGAACATTGGGATGGGAGGCATGCAGCGCATGTGTTTGAACCTTGCGAAGGGTCAGATGTGCTCTGTCACCCCATGGGTACCTGATGTAGCGCGTGGATTTGCAATCGCGACCGTCCACTTGGAAGTCCAACAAGTCATGCGGTCGGGGTCGGCCCAACTCAACTTCGACTGTGAAAGCATCAAGGGAAACTTTGAAAAGTTATACGTGAATCAGGTGTTTGCCGCGGGCCAGCTTCTCGTCGTTGACGTGGACGGCGCTCCAGTCAAGTTGGCCGTGACAAAGGTCGAGTTGTTGGCGCCACCAGAGGGTGTTGTTCCTCCGTCGAATCCGAACCCCCTGGTGCCCACAGTGGGTCTGTTCGTCAAAGGCAGTTCGCTCGTGTTCACCAAGTCCAAGGACGCTCCCGTGAAGCTCGTGAATCAGGTAAACGTTACTCGATACATTCCACGTCACTGGTCCTCCGTAGGGCGCGACGGCGGGCGGCGGCAATCGCATCTTCAAACCTGACTTTGACTTCTCCAAACTCGGCATTGGTGGGCTCGACAAAGAATTCAACGACATTTTTCGCCGAGCGTTTGCGTCGCGCGTGTTTCCGCCCGCTATCATTGAACGAATGGGCATCAAGCACGTTCGAGGTCGGCTTCTCGCTTCCATTCATGGCACTTGATCCTTTCTGCAAATCGCGACGCGTCCGCCGCATTGTCTTTTTTGTGTCGTCAGTCGTTCCACGGGTCTCTCTCACCACTTGTTGCGTTTCGGCGTAGGTATGCTCTTGTTTGGGCCTCCAGGGTGTGGGAAGACTTTGATTGCGCGACAGATCGGCAAGGTAATTCAGTTCGCACTCCACCCGACGACGAGCATATCTGTTGTGTGAATGCACCGCGTTCGTGGTGCTCCAACGCTATTCTTTCTCATTGAGGACCCTCCCAGTTCAAGTTCTCATGGCGTTGCGGCGCAACATGTGTAGGTGCTGAATGCAAAAGAGCCCAAGGTCGTGAACGGCCCGGAAATTCTAGACAAGTTTGTCGGCGAGTCGGAGCGCAAGATTCGCGAGTTGTTTGACGACGCGCGCCGGGAACAAAACGAACTCGGCGAGTCGTCCGAGCTCCACATCATTATTTTCGACGAAATCGACGCCATCTGCAAAGCCCGCGGCAGCTCGCGCGACGGCACCGGCGTGGGCGATTCGGTCGTGAACCAGCTCCTTACGCAAATTGATGGAGTCGACGGCCTGAACAACGTGCTCGTGATTGGGATGACGAACCGAAAGGTACAATCTGCTTCTCTCGATGGAAAATCGCCAAATTCGTCGCCACGTCAGGGTCTTGATGGTTGACGAACGTGGAGTGATAATGGCTCTTCACGAGGACGCTCGTTGCAACGTGATTTGTCCTGTTTTGTTGGCGGAGCTTGATGGACTCATGTGCGCGACAGGACATGCTCGACGAAGCGTTGATGCGCCCCGGTCGTTTGGAAGTGCAAATGGAAATCAACTTGCCCGATGAACACGGCCGCGCCCAGATTCTCAAGATCCACACCCAGCGAGCCAAAGACAATGGGTTCTTGGACGAGTCGGTCATCACGGACCTCAACCACTGCCTCGCCCCTGTCACGAAGGAATATGTCAACTTAGCCCAACGAACCAAGAACTTTAGTGGGGCCGAAATCGAAGGGCTTGTGCGAGCGGCCACAGCGCATGCCTTGTCTAGAGGTACCCCCTCGCCCCTGGTCACCCCCAGCGTCCTGTGCAGCTTGCTCGAGATGGCGAGAGGTGGGTGAATCACTGCACGGTCCTGATCTGTTTGCGCAGGAACGGATGGCAAGACGTTCCATGCCGCAGCCAACTACATTCCAAAGTTGACGATGGCGGACTTTGACATGGCGTTGACGGAGATCAAGCCAAAGTTTGGAGCGCCTCAAGACACGCTCTCGTTGTACTACCGCGCCGGATTGCATTCGTTCGGTTCCGAGTTTGACACAGTCCAGTCGACGCTGAACGCTGTGATCCAACAAGTCAAGTCGAACGAGAACACGCCCCTCATGAGTGTTTTGCTCCATGGCGAGCCCGGAAGCGGCAAAACGGCGCTGGCGGCCGCGTGCGCCGTCGCGTCCGAGTATCCGTTGGTGCGCATGATCAAGGCCGCCGACTTGATCGGACGGCAAGAAGGCGCCAAGTGCAGTCACATTTATACCGTCTTTGAAGAAGCCTACCGGTCTCCACTCAGCATGATCATCTTGGACGACATCGAGCGCCTCCTCGAATACGTTGGTACGTCGACGCTCTCGTTCGTGTCCGTGTGGACGTCTTCAAGGTGTCGTGGGGGGTTGACTGCCGTTCCTGTTGGTGGCGATGGAAGGATCTGCTGCTACTGCTGCTGGCCCACACAGACACTGATCTGAATGCGGTGGTAGGCCTGGGGCCTCGTTTCTCCAACTCGGTGCTACAGGCGCTGCTCGTGTTGATCAAGAATCCTGTGCCAGTCTTGGGCCGCAAACTTCTTGTGGTTGGGATCACATCGTCGTTCGACGAGATGAAGATGCTCGAGCTTCCGTCTGTGTTTGACGTGACGTTGCAAGTGCCCCTCCTGCGTCAACCGTCCGACTTTGATGCGGTGCTCCTGGGCGCTGCGGTGAACATCGACCCGTCCGACCGCCATCGCGTCGTCGAGTTGCTCGGGCAAAAACCCATGGGCGTCAAGAAGTTGCTCCTGATTTCGGAAATGGCGCGTCAACACACGTCCAACGAAGACAACGAGGGGCAGCCGTCGACGGCTATCACGTACAAGCGGTTTGTCGACTGCCTCTACAAGTTTGGGTTTTAGCATGGCCGCACACGGAAGCGCAGCGTTTCCGAACGCGTCGCCATGGCATTGCATCGTTAATGAAGGTTTTGCATCGACGAAGTGGTCTCTCGACGTTTTTTACGATGAAACACGTCCCTGGCAGTGTAACTTTTCAACTGCATGCGATCCGTGGTCGCCTTCGATCCGAACGTTGTCCGCTCTGTTCCTCTCGGCCGCGCCATCTCCTGTGCGCAAACTCGTGACGCGATCCATCATGGTCTGCGGCGCAACGTTTGCCCGTGGCCGAGACATGTAACGCCCATGAAACTGTCATCCGGTGGCCGCGCCAGCACATGGACGCTCTCCCGTCGTCCTCGGCAATGATTGGAAATGGGAGGTTGTGCCGTGGAGGAGGTCATCCATCCACACCGTTCCATCTTCCCCGTCGCCATGTTGCACAAACGATGGTCCGTTGGGATGCTCGTGGCATCCTCTGCATGGATTCCATGCGCCGCGAACGCGCCATCGTCTGTGATTGCGTCGGACGTGTGGGCGGATTTACACGCGGGTCCAAACGCGACAGTGAACGTCCTTGTGAGCTTTGTTGGCGGGACGGCCACGGCCTTGACGCACGCAAACTCGATCGACTTTCAAGATCTCCATCTTCCGTCGGCCAACTCACGCGTCAGACGGCACTTGCTGCGTGCAGCGGCCACGTCTCAAGCGACAGTGTTGTCCGTTTTACGCGGCGACACGGCTCACCCTCGCCGCCGGTTAAATGACGGCAGCGCTACACACATCTTGTCTTCCCCGGAAATTTGCCCTGGCCTCGACGAACTCGTCGTAAGGGAAATCTACCTCACGAACCAACTCTATGTTCGTCGAATGACGTTGTGCATGGCGGAGCAACTGGCGCTGCGCCCTGAAGTGGAGTCCGTCCGGTATGGAGCGACGTTCCAGCTCGACATGTCCGCCACCACACAGTCGCCGCGATCATCGTCGTGGAATGTCGATGCCGTGGAAGCGTCGCGGCTGTGGAGCGCCAACATGACCGGTCAAGGTGTCGTCGTGGGGGTCATCGACACTGGCGTCCGCAGCACCCACGACGTGCTGCGAAGCACCTTCCGGCACGATCACGGGTGGTTTGATGCGGTGGCGCAGACGCCGACTCCTCTCGACACCGACGGCCACGGCAGCCACGTGTCGGGAATCGTCATGCGAGTGGCGCCGGCTGCTCAGTGGATCGCGTGTCGCGCGTGCACTGGCGGAGGGTGCAGAGAATCACACTTGTTGCTGTGCATGCAGTTCATGCTGTGCCCCACCGACCCGAAAGGAAACGATGTCGACTGCTCCAAGGCGCCACGTGTCGTCAACAATAGCTGGGGAAGCAGCATCGCCAACTTGCCCAGCTACATGGCGGCAGTCCAAGCGTGGCGGGAGGCTGGAATCATCCCTGTTTTCTCGGGGGGCAATGCCGGAGCTCAAGGCTGCTCGTCCGTCACGAGCCCAGCAGACTACGACAACGTGATCGCCGTGGGAAGCGTCGATGCCTCCCGAATGCTGTCTGTGTTTAGCTCAACGGGTCCGACGGTTCAGTTTGGAAGGACGAAACCCGACGTGGTCGCACCGGGGGTCGCGATATCGTCGGCGTCGCATCAAGCCGACGACCTGTACGTGGAAATGACCGGCACCAGCATGGCCGCGCCCCACGTGACGGGTTCGATTGCGCTGCTGTTGAGTGGAAATCCGCACCTGACGTATGATCAAGTGTACACTGCGTTGACGGAAGGAGCATCCTCAGTCACAGGGGCATCGTCTTCATGTGGAGGGTCCCACAGTGAAGGCGGCTCGAACAACTTGGCTGGCCATGGACTCGTGGATGTGGCAAAGGCAGGACGACTCCTTGAGCTGCCGCGCCGTCGCCATGGCTGTGGCGACATGTAAACGATGCAAATGAAGTGGACGGCATGAAAGGCCTCGACTCCTTGCACGCACGATGGGGGGAGGTGTAATAGGAGTCTCGCAACCTTTGTCAGCGACTCCATCCAAGCTTGGTCATACAGTCTATTATCTCTTATTCCTTGGAATGCGGTCGAGCATGTACACACTTACACGAGATCGACAGTGATTCAAGTCGTGCACGCGGCGCGAGTTGAGCGAGATGGGCGACGTACAGTTTTCCACTACTGCCTCCCATGGACTGATTAGAGCTCAACCTTGGACGGCCTTGCACGCGCAAAACGAAATCATCGAGGGACCGCCGCTGCCTCCCACGAGCATGCCCCATGACGAATGTAGCCGATGCCAACCCACGGAATCGCTTCATGAAACACCTCTGTCCTTTCGGACGGGCACGACGATAAGCCTAACACTAATAAGGGTAAACTTTATATAGTATATTCATTGAAATGTACCCATCCAGGTGGTCACACTAATTACAGCGTTGGTCCAACGCATGGTGCATTGAGTTGCCATCTGGGTCACAATTTGTGTTACGCATTTGCGTCCGATCTACAAACTCGCTTCTCGATGAACCGCATATCTCAACACGGCAGTCATGGCTCGTGTGTTGTTTGGCGTGCTGGCCGCTGCGGTTGCCAGCGCCGCCGTCCCCACGGACAAGGTGGACGCTGATCTGTGGCATCGCTTGACCGCGAACGTGGCGGTCCGCGCTATGGTCGAGCTCCGCCCTGCGCCGCGGTCGGCACGATCGTTCGCCACGGAATCACGTGTTGAAAATACAGCGGGAGCAGGTGCCCCCAGCGTGGATCGGGTCCGACAGGCCATGGTGGATGCCACCGCGTCGTCGGCTGCGGCGGTGCAAGAGCTGTTCCAGCCAATGTCGGCACGTCGACGACGGAGCAAGGCAGCGTGTCCAGGTTTGGATGCACCTACGCCCATTCACTTGTGGATCGCAGGTCGTATGCATATTCCAGCGCTGACGCTGTGCGTTGCCGAGCATTTGGTGTCGCTGGACGCGGTCGTCAGCATTCGGTCGGAGGACGTCGAGGACTTGGATGCGGTCGCGGCTGCGATGGCCCCGCCAGTGGACGTCCTGCCTCCTTTATGGGCTGTCCACATGATCAACGCACCTGCCGTATGGGCGACTGGAAACACGGGCCAAGGCATCGTAATCGGCACGATCGACACGGGTGTCCGGCCGACACACTCCTTATACGCGTCCAAGTTTCGAGCCGATTACAACTGGTTCGACCCCGTCAGCAATTCCCCCACGCCGTCCGATGCAACTGGCCATGGGAGCCACGTCGTTGGGCTGCTAGTTGGCGATCAAAACGTTGGCGTCGCGCCAGGCGCGTCGTTCATCTCATGCCGAGGGTGCACCACCACGTGCAACGAAGCCGACATTCTAGCGTGCATGCAGTTTATGCTGTGCCCCACGGATACGAACGGGGCAAAAGCGAATTGCTCGAAGAAACCTCATGTGATCAACAACTCGTGGGGCAGCGCCGTGTCCAAGCCAGTGTACCAGCAGGCGTTCGACGCGTGGGAAGCCGCCGGGATCGTGTCTGTAGTGTCCAACGGCAACGCCGGGCCAGCTTGCGGCACCGTCGGGTCCCCTGCCGACTACAAGACCGTCGTGGCCGTCGGCATGATGACGGAGAACTGGTACCTGAACGGCCGAAGCAGTCGAGGGCCAGCCAAGAACGACAAGAGTGTCGTCAAACCCGATGTGTCGGCGCCAGGCTATGGCGTGTTCTCGGCCTCCAGCGCTGGAGACGGCATGTACGAGTCGCGATCGGGAACGAGTCAAGCTGCGCCGCACGTGGCGGGTGTCGTGGCGCTCATGCTTGCCGCCAACCCTACGTTGACTCCAGCCGACGTTCGCGCCGCCGTCAAGTTGTACGTTGAAACAGCCAAGATTGACGTGGTTGCCACGACCAACTGCGGTGGCCTCGACGACCTCAAGTTCCCCAACAACAATTACGGCTACGGACTCGTCAACGCGAGTTACGCCGTCGCGGGCGTGAGTGGAATTGTTCCTACCACAACAGCTGCACCTACCTCCATTCCAACCGCTCCACCGACTCCAGAACCAACGATCTCAACTATTGCGCCGACAACTCCTGAACCCACCACCAACACCGCGGCGCCGACCCCCGAGCCAACTGCCTATACGGTTGCACCATCCACCACGACGGGTGCACCCAACCCCGAGCCGACTACCATCACCATTGCACCTACTGTCGAGCCAACCACCACCATCGTTGCACCAACCACGGCTGCACCTACACTAGAGCCAACCTCCACCGCCGCTCCACCTACTACCACATTACCAACCACTGCAGCACCTACCATCGAGCCCACCACCCTTGCACCAACCACGGCTGCACCTACGCCGGAACCAACCACCGCCACCACCGTGGCTCCTACACCCGAGCCAACCACGACCACCATTGCACCTACCACCATCACCCCTACTCCCGATCCTTTGACCAGCACGGTTGCACCTACTCCCGAGCCTACAATCACCACCTTTGCACCCACCACGCCTGCACCCACCACGCCTGCACCCACCCCCGAGCCTTCCTCCACCTCCATTGCCCCAACAACCCTTGAGCCGACGACCATCACAATTGCACCTACCACAACGACGGTTGCACCCACCCCCGAGCCAACGATTTCGACTGCTGCACCACCCACTACGACCCCAACGACGATCACGGTTCCTACAACAACCACGACCCCTTCGACTACAACTGGACGCCCCACTACGACCACCAGCCGCCCCAAGACGACGACGAGGCATCCAACCACAACGAGCAGGCATCCTCTTCCAACAACGATCAAGCCGCCGCCGCCCACCACCACTCGTCCGCTGCAGTGCCCCGCGACTTGCACAGGATGCTACTGGCCATATTTTGACATGTGCTACCCGTCCAAGCCCACGACATGTTTGTATTTTTCGCACACGTGGTGCGGTGGCGACTAAAATCCAATTCGTGTGTGAAAAGAGCCCATGCGTTGTTATTTTCATCATGGGATTAGTTTGCCAGCGCTTGCTCGAGCCGCTTGACGAGGTCGTCCTTGAGTCCCTTCGTGTCCAGGCCTCGCGCTTTGAGGTGCTGTCGCAGTTCGACTACTTTCAGTTTGCTTGGAATGAGAGCAGGTGCTGCACTGGCATCTTTTGTCTCGGCATGATCTCCTTCGACACTCTCAGTCTTGGCGTCGTCGTCCATGCCTTCGGACACTTCCTGCTTGGATTCAATGGCATCATCACAACTTTCTTGTTGCTCAGCGGAAGGCGCTTTCACAGGCGACGGTGGCGTCTTCGCTGGCGACGGCATTTTCACCGGAGACGGTGATTTTTTGACTGGTGACGGTGGTTTTTCAACGGATGACGATGCTCCTTGAGGAGATAGCGGCGTCGCTTGTGCAGATGCCCCTTCGACTGCAGCGGGGGAGTTGTCATCCCGGACCGTCGCATCCTTCTTGGCTTCGTTGGCCTCGCTCTCGTCGTCTCGATTCGATGGTTCGTCGGCTTGCACGACGTCGTCGTTCTCAGAGGGACTCGCAATGTCACGGGGACTTGTGGTCACGTCGGTCGGGACGTCGTCTCGAGGTCCGTCGCCTGGTTTGGTGTCGACCAGGCGCGCCAGTTCCGCTTCCAGGGCTTCGATCTTGCGCTGGGATTCAGCCTCAATGCTTCGCTTCTTGGCATCAATTTCACGACGTTGTGCCAGGATCTTCTCTTCGATCGCTTCCATGGATGCATCAACAAGCGCCTGTGTCTCCTTGGTGTGCCGCGCAGGCAAGTAGAAAATTGGGATCGGCGACACTGTCTGGAGGAATCGTGCCTGGTGCCGCTCGCTGCTGATGCTCAATGCGTGCTTTCGCTCGAGTTTCGCGATTTTGTCCACAGCGTCGCGCTTATGCGCCGCAATCTGCGAGTCGAGCTTCCGCCGTGCTTGCTGCTGCTGGACGACCCGTCGGTGCTGCTTCTCTTTTTCCTCTGCGGCGCTGAGCAGCCGGTCTTGCTTCTTTAACAAGTCACTATCTTGTGCCAATTGCTTCTTCGCGCGGCCGAGGTGCCCCATCAACGCACCAAACATGCGTCGGCTACGTTGCAGCAATTTCGGGTCGTCCTCCGTAGGCTTGACGTTCTACCAGTCGCAGCGACATTATCAACGTTGCTTCCACAAACGATTTAAAAAGAATCCCGTACCGTGGCAGACAAGCGTCGTCGCTTCGGGCCGTTGTCATCGTCAATCGATGTGGTCCGCTTCCGGGGCGGCGATGCGGCGGCAGCGCGGTCGCCCAAACGATCATGAATGCTCCTGGTGCCTCCACCACCGCGCGGAGTGAACACCGCCTCATCCTGGACGCCACGTCGACTTACTCGCTCCCTATCGTCTATGCGTTCCATGAGTTTCCTTTACGTTGCCACAATGAGACGTACCCTCATGCCGCGAACTCATCGCAAGATCTCGCTGTGTGGTGAAGACGTTCTACCGAATTCACGTATAAAGTGCGAATCCTTTAAATGCGAGGTCAATTTCGCTATGGAATATTTCGTACTTCAAAGGGATGTACTATATTAAGTTCGTGGCCGCATGTTTTGTCGAGTCACCCCAGCGAGACATGGAGGCAGGAAGCGCCGCGGTGCCGCAGCAACCCGCGCACGCCGACGACTACAATGCGTCATATCGGGACAACATTTGGTTGAGCCAGTTCCCTCTGGACCATCAGTCTGTATTGTATTACTTCGCCGGGTCTCCGTGGTATGACAAGAACTGCAACAACGAGATCCTCAAGATGCAACGCCGCCCGCTCGAGCATCTACAGGGCATGACCGGCATCGAATATGAACTCCAGCCGAACGATGCAAAGCAAGTGCCCCAGATCCTGTATGTCATTCACAAAAAGAACCGAACGGGACCGCGCACAGCCCACGTCATGGCTGTCTACTACGTGCTCGACGCCACGATCTACCAAGCGCCAAACACGTACACGCTGCTGACGTCGCGCTTGGTACGTTATTTCGAGCTCCACTTGCATCTCGGAACTCTAATGAATGCGTCATGGGCCTCTGAGCTTACGTCGAATTCGCCTTGCTAGAAAAAATGCAGCTTCCGTGTCAACAAGGCGTTCAAGGCGCTCAGTGCGGGTGTGCGCTTCAGTCCTACCGAAGGGTATGCGTGGGACTTCAGCACGGAGGATTCTCCCGCGTCGGTGATTCCATCGGAGCGTACGTAGCGCCCCCTCGTCGAGACTGTTGATAGAATAACATGTAGAATTGGCCGTCAAGCTCAAGCGCAAGTTCGAAAAAGAGGAAAAGATCAAGCAGAACAGTGCGCGCGTCGACAGCATTTTGTTTGGTCTCATCAAGAAGGTATGCATCGAATATGTGCTCATGGCAACGGCGAGATGGTGAAAACAACTTGTTAGTACGCGCCCGATGTCCTCGAGAACAAAGGCATCGCCAAGACAGAACCTTCGCAGGCAGACGGTCCCCAAGCGAAACGACAAAAAATGGCAGAGAAATCGGGGACCATGACTGCCGCTGCCACTTAAACAGCATGAAAGGCACACGTTACTTGGTCTTTTTGCTTTCGGCACTCCCTGTCGTCGTGGGCGTTGCCTTGTTTGTATTGTCCTTGTTGAGGTCTTCGACGTCGCTGTCGCCTGCCGACGATAGCTCTTGAGGAGGTTGCACAGCTTTGGCCTTGGTCGACACCACAGGACTCGACACATTGATGCCTGGTTGGTGTTCTTCTCTCTTCAACGTCCTAAAGATGGTTGGCAACAAGAGGAACACCACCAGGAACAGCGCAAAGCCTGCAGTGATCCATACGTTCTCCCCACAAATGCTGTTGACCGGAGCAGGCAGGCAGAACTCTGCGGTCGGCACCGGCACGCGGGTGCGTCTTGGAAACGGCGGGTGTGAGGCCATGATGTACCAAATGATCGTTTTGGGCTGAAGCGAACACCTGAAGGTATGTAGTTTTGGAGGTAATGTTATAACAAACTATATGTTGTGTTTGTGAGAAACTTATGTTTGTTATAACTCTTCGTGTATCCGGTAAACCTTTGAAGTATAATACTCAGCATCCGGTGGACACTTGGTGCGAGCCTTCCACCATCAAGTTGACAAGATGGCGACTCCGGACGCCGTCCACACGTGGAGCAGCCTGGAAGAGCAAGTTGATGCGCTACTGCATGTGACTCTGCCACTTCTAGATGACAAACAGGAGTATGTGACCATTACGACCTCGCTGTTGGAAGGCAACGACTGGAGCAGCTCCGTCCGCTTGCTTGCCTTCGAACCTTTCACGGGCCGCATCGACCACCTCCATGCACTTCGATTACCCACCACTACCGCAGCATTGACGTGGCACGAAGAATCCAGTCTTGTTATTGCGGGTGGCGACGATGGCGACTTGTACTTCCTCACGTTTGACTGTGCATCCATGAAATGGAGCCGTGTTTTGCCGCCCAACTCAATCGGGCATGACGATCTCATCACGAGCATCCATGCCAACCCATCTTCGTTCGCCAGTGCCAGTTGGGACTTGACTGTCAAGCTATGGGACGTGGAGGGCTTGTCCCTCATAGAGTCGCTTCAAGGACACAGCGACAAGGTGTGGGACGTCAAGTGGCGACCGCAGTCGTCGCACGCATTGGCCTCGGCATCCCAAGATCGAACTGGTACGTCATCTTCTCGGACTTGCAAGTGGCATACCGTCATGTCTTCCATGCAGTGCTCGTATGGGACGTCCGCGACAAGCGGCACCCGACGGCCTTCAACACACCGTTTGCAGCATTGTCCGTGGCTTGGCAGCCCCAAAATGACCATGGCGTCACTGCAGGGCTCGAAGACGGCTCCATCTACATGTTTGACCTTCGATCTCCCAGCACCCCCTCGTCGATCTTGGTACACCACGTCGCTGTCTTGTTCCCACTCTATGACTGCTCATGCACGTGGCACAGGCCAACCAACACGCCGGTTGTGTGCACGGTGTCGTGTACAATGCCATGGACAAGTCGCTTGCGTCATTCAGCGACGACATGACCGTACGATTGTACTCGGCCAACGCCCAGATGCCTAGGTAGTCGCCTCGTTGTCTCGACGGAGTGCATCTGCACGACGAACTTTCCTGACGGTGCGAAAATGCCCATGACTGTGTAGGTACACGTACAACATGCACACCGACTACGTCCGCGGGTTTGCCTGGCTCAAGACGGCGTCGTGGGTTGTCTCGAGCAGCTTTGACAAGTCGGTGCACTTTTGGCAGCCATAGCACGCGCAACGAGGCCGTGGCTTGTGTCCATTCGAGTGCCATCTCCAGTGGTTTTCGCAAATCGGACAACCTGCGTCGCGCAAGGATTGGCACGAGGTTCTTGTCGGGCACAGCGTTCATGGGAAGGGTCAACGACACGTCCGTCACGATGGGATCGTCCGAACCAGGGCCCGTGTGCCGATGCGCGTGTGTGACGGAGGCACTTGCTCTCCATGCAAGCCAAGCCTCAACGAATAATGCAATTTTAAGATGAGCTACATGCAGCTCGTGTCCGACGACGTGTCGGGGAAGTTGCGATGAAAGCTTGGGTGGCACGTCCGGCGGACCTTCCATGGATAAATAATCACCTAAATCTTGGGCAGGAGCGACGTAAGCTCACCGCCCGTCATGACAACGTGGTTGTCCGACTGCGCTTTGCGAACATGGATCGACGGAGGGCGGGCCAACGAGGTCGGTTTGTCGGGCGGTCGAGTCGCCACCGACGTCATGGACGCCGTCGACTTGGCTGGTTTACATTCGCCACTGACCCATTCGTGGTCGAGCGCTTCCATGGGCGTGTACCGCGTCGCGGGGTCCCATCGAAAGCACTTGGTGAGCAGGTCCACGAGCTTTGCGTCGTGGCACTTGATGAGCGCGCGGAACTCACGCGAGTTGGGGCGACGCTTCCGTCCGCGCGAGTTGACGGTCGTCGTGGGGTCGCCGTTGTCGTCGAAAAAGTGTTTTCGTCGCTTGCATTTGTCAATCATGTGCTTGGGAGGAACGTCAAACACTTCCATGATGCACGCGAGTTGCTCGCCTTCGTTCTCGCCGGAAAAGACGGGATACCCCGTGAACAGCTCGCCCAAAATGCACGCAAAGCTCCACATGTCAATGGGCATCCCGTACGGCAGACCGAGGACGACTTCGGGCGCTCGGTAGAACCGCGACTGAATGTACGTAAAGAACGTGGCGTGGTGAAAGCACGACGACCCAAAGTCGATGACTGCGATCTGCGTCGACTTGGGTTTGCGCAGGAGGATGTTTTCCGGCTTGAGGTCGCAGTGGACAACGTTGTTTGCGTGGAGAAATACGAGGCAGTCGAGCAGATCGACCGCGATTTTCTTGAGCAGCGGCATCGGGAGGCCGCGAAATTGCTCGAGCTTCAAGTACTCGTACAAGTTGATGCTGAGCAACTCAAACACGAGGCACAGGTGGTTCCGAAACACAAACGTGTCGAGCATTGCAATCACGTTGCTAGTCCCGTCCACGTCGGCACGGTTCAAATGCTGGAGCAACTGGACCTCCACGATCGACTGCTCCTGGAATTTCTGCTTGTTCCGGACGATCTTGACCGCGACCATTTGCCGCGTCGCATAGTCGTGGCACTTGAGCACTTGGCCAAACGACCCGCGCCCCAAGTGCCCGACGACGTCGTATCGATACGCAATGTGGTCATGCACGTTGACGATGTAGTCGCCTTTGTCGTCGTCAAACCCATGGTTGGCGACGCCGGTCGTCCGCGACTTGGACTCGACTGTCCCGACGTAATGCACGGTCGTGTAGTCCAAGATCTCGATCGCTTCGTGCGCCGTGAGCGCCGCCGCGTGGTGTGCGGATGCCAGGACTTCGTGTGGCTTCATGGGCTTTGTTGTCGAGTTGGACGACGACGTCGAGCGCTTCCTGTGAGACGACGACGTGGTGCGGTGGTGGTCGAACCCACGCACGATCTCCTTTGGCTTGTACGGGTGGTGCGCTTGGGCTGGTTGCGCTGGCTCTGGCGGGGCTGCGGGTTGTTGGGGAGCCATGGGAGTAGCGTCGGACGGACCCTTGCTGCCGTTGTTGTCGACGGTCATCGAGTCGATGAGCGAGTTCGACACGTGCTTGTCTGGAGCACGTGCCGCGATTGCGTCGGCCACAACCTGTGCCTTGGTCTGGTCGTTCACGGCGGCAGTCGACTCTGCAACGATCATCTTGTGCAGTTTCGTCGTGACCTCGCGAATGCTGCGGTGCTTTCGATGGCCAGGACGCAGACGCAGCATGGGGAGTTCCATATCCACTGCAGCGTGGTGTGAAGCGATGGTCCGTTCTTCCACTCTGGCACATCTGAAACGCATTCGCCCATGTCAAGCTAAACTTAGACGAACTTCCAGCCTTGCTTGGACTCGTCCGCGCACCACCGGGTGCGCGTGCATTGGGGTCACGGGAGCATCGGTCCCCGTGGCGTTCGGCATCGACAGAGGCAGCGACGACGAGGGCGATGTGACGTGCGTCAAGGCGCTGCAATAGGGATCGAGCACCGAGAATGGCGTCCATGGGAGGGCTCGTTTTTTGACAGGACGAGCGGCACAGTTGGCGCTCGTCGCGGCAACCTCCCCAAGGCGATCGGTGCGCGTCCGCGTGGCGGCGGCATACGAGCGATAGATACTCGATAGTGGGCTTGTGGCGCGTGCCTCGTCTCATGGTTCATGGCGTCGTACCAGCTCTCGACGTGCAGTAAAGCTCTGTCATTCCAAAGGGCGCGGCATGGCGCCCCTGGCGCGCGGGTCGATCCACAAATGCGCATGTCACACATGGAGGGCGTAACAAGCCCAGCGGGTGCGTGTCGCATGGTTGATCGCCGTGCACACACAACGTGGCGGAGGGGTCGATAACGGGATGGGGTCCATTGGATCGCTGTGGCCGACCACATAGCCACGGCACCAAAGCACGCGCAGGTCGAGAAAGGCGGGGGTGGCGCGTGCCGAAACCGCGTTGTCACGGGGTCGACGGCACGCGAGCTACAGTACCAACCGCTGACGACACACTCCGCGCCGAGATTCGTAAGGATGTACAGTAATTGCATGTGCCACCGCAGGCGTGGGCCTGCCAAGTCAGCATCGGTCTCCGTGGCGACCGAGCACCCTCTGCGCGGGGCAAGGGTCGTGGATGCGGGGAGCTCGTCGGCACGACGTCGCCGAGTCCCCGGTTGATCCAGCACGGTCCATCACACATTACAGCCACCTTTGCGTGCTCGCTCTGCGCTGGATCTCGATCGAACCTGCATGAATCGCGCGCGACTTGACGGTGGCTGTCACCTACATAGCACCGACGGCACGGGGGACTCCAACTCGGTTGTCAATCCAGGCGGCGGCGGCGGCTCAAACGTCTATGGGATTGGCTTTCGGCCCGTTGTCTGTGCATTCAAGCAATGACGAAGGCGGCCGTTCCATCGGGCGTGACTTGGGCCATTTTTACGTTGACCACACGGTGCACCCAGGCAGCAGCCGCTGCTAGTGCATCTGACCAGGAATAGTCGCAGCCTAGCATTTCCAATGGCTCGTCCTGCGTGCGTGTCAAGATGTATGTGTGTGTCTTCGTGTGCGACGGACTACTTCCAATGACCATTTGACGCAGAGGTTAAGCGAAATAGCGACCAGAATTCTCCGTGGCTACCCATCCAACATCACACAACTCGTCTCTTTCGCACGCTGTCAACTACGTTCCACACTGTCAACCCACGTGCCCCTCCCCCCAGCCACACCCACCGACCTTCTTTGGCGCGCGCGCCAAGGCAATCCAACTCGCCTGGAGCACCGAGCTCGACTTCGATCGGAAGCCACCCTCGTCGTCATGGCAGTTCCAAAAGAAGCGAGAAGCCAGGAAACCCAAATAAAAATACATGGCCTGCGCATACAAAACGACCGATTCCACGGCGGAAAGCGCGTAAAAAAATGCACCGCAGAATTCGTGTATCACATATTCAGAGGACCTGTCACATTACATATCCGACAGCGCCATGTGGCTCGGCGCGCGTTCGCATGCATTCTCAACAAACGTCGATTGGATGTGGTGGGGACCCCGCGACGCGGGTGGCAAACCCCGTCGATTCAATATATCGTGCACGCATCGGCGCGCGCGAAACAAGCGACCCACGGTACGCGCAGCATGGTTTATGGTGCAGAAGGCCCAGCGAGAAGATGCAGCACATAGATGCACGGTCCCAACCTCGGGGTTGGCTGTTTGTAGGCGGTCCTTCTAAGTGCGATAAACCCTCGCTGCCAGCTGGAAGTAGCCGCGAAGTTCGAAGCCCACTGTCCAATTAATTGATTCATGTGTCGAATCCCATACAAGATTCAAGTCATTTAAAACTCGGGGACGGCCGCACTCGAAGTTGATTGATGCGGTTGCATCGACCTCGCCTAAATCAGTTCCACTACCGAGGACGGAAGACACGGCCCATGAAGATGCGTCGATCGCTCGACATCGGATCCGACGGCGCCGTTCTGAGTTAAAACCTAGCCACAGCAAAAGCTACTGTCACGGCGTGTTGCGCGTTCTGGTCGTCGCGGGGGCTAGCCTAGTTACCAATTTCTCGCACGTCGTGTGTTCGTGCCGTTTCACGGCGACGGGTGACGAAGTCGAAGAACTCCTCAGGATGTGATGGTACATCTTCGCGTCGTCGTGTCAGCACCCGCGAACAGCCCCCAAGATACTCGGGTTTTTCACCCCTTTGCGGAGGAATATCGCACTTAAACGGATATTGACGTGCCCGACTGGCCCACACCAAAAGAAGAGGTCCAATTTTGTAATTTGCGTCCAAGGAGACAAGTCGCCGCCAAGTCCTGATCATCATGGAAATTGCCCAAGACGTCCGCGAGCTGCTGGTGGGAAGCACGACGGAACAGCAGCTGCTGCAGGACATGCAGTCATACCACCAAAAGTACTGCGACTTTATGCGAAAACTGGCGAACCAAGTGTCGGAACTGTCGCTCGCGATGTGTCCCGAATCACGTATTTTCTACTACCAACTGCAGTGTGCCATGTACAAGGACTGGACCGCTGCCATAACAGACTGCGCATTCATGAGCAGCACAATCAACACGAAGACACTCGAAACGAAGCTCAACACGTACGAGCAGGTCGTCGCACGCATTCTGCGCAACGACGCCGAGTCTGCTTCCCCCGTCGTCGACGTCCCAAAAGATTCGTCCATGGAGCAATGGATACACATGTATGAAGCACATCGAAAGAAGATTGCGTCGACCCAAGGTTAGAAGCTCCACAGCGTGTGTATGTGTGGGTGTCGTCATCTGTCTGTGTCGTGGGGGCATCCACCAGCATGTCGGTGGGCGCCAAGTAAATAGAAAACTCGTTAGATACATTATTTACGAAGAATGAAAGCTCAAGTCTTTCAGTTCCATCAACCGAGTGCCAGCATCCCTGGAAGTGATGGTGTTGCCGTTGTCCCATTTCTCAACTTTCAAGGAACTGCATCAATTAGATCAACACGTCCTACATCTTCATTTAACATTCTGTCGTGGCGCGACCTTGGCCACATCTTCGATGGCGCATGGCGGGTGTACTTGACTTGCTGCTTGATCTGGCTTGTTGAGGATACGATGTACCGTCACGCTTCCCATCGCCGCAAATACTTCGCGGATGTCTACAACTCCGGCGGTGGTCCCACCACCTAAACCACCTCGGCCGTGTAACCCTATCTATGTGCGGTTCCTTTCGCTCTGCTAGTGCGCATCAACGACGGCGACGGCGTGTGCCAGCTCGCAAATTTCATGACGTTCTTGATGAGTACGTACTCTGGACACGAAAGGACGTGTAATGGGTAGCCGGCGTCGGTTCGAAACACGCTCCGTGAACGTCGCACCTGTGCGCACGAGAGAGTGGCTGCAGCCCTCTTGCGCGGCCACCCGAGCAGTCTGGCGCACGACACGCCAGCATCGCGCTAAAGAATCGCGACCCCCCTGTCGTTGTTGGAGCCACCTCCGTCCACAACGCGCCCATCACCTTCCTGCACCGGAATATCGGATAACTACATCCCCATATCCGGACGGCCCTGCACCTGGTCTGAAGAAAGGACACCCATGGGAGATATCGCCAAGAATGACGCCGTTCTGGTCGTGCTGGTCGACGCTGCGTGACCATTTGTACTGAAGCAGCGCATGCCCGGACGGGCATTCGATCGCCATACTCTAACAACGCAGGACGATAGCAACAGAGCGGTTGCGGTAGCTTAGGACCACCGTGGATCTGCACTTGTCGTCGTCTCCATAAAATCGACCCAATCAAGTCGACGTGCAGTGTCATGGGTTGGCATGGAAGGGTTCTAGCGGCCACTGCAACGTCGCCGAGCGACGAAGGGTCGTTTGCCACGACTGCGGCACGAGTCCACGGCGCGGGGAATGGACGTGCGTCAGTGCGCGATGGTAGTCCACGGCGGTCGGCGGTGTTGGCGCGGAGTGCTGGGAATTCTCAGAAGGAATTGTCGAAGTTCGAGTGCTTACACTAATTAAATCCTCGGTCAGACGGATAAGATATCCGGATAAGCCGGATTCAACGCGCTTGGCAACCGATGAGTGCAGGGGACGCAGCATGGGCCGTGGTGGATGTCGCGGCACATCGACATCGTAACCACCTATGCGAGGGTATATCCTTTCACGCCTTTAGATGGAAGTTTTCGTGAACCTCGTGTTGCGAGTAGCGTATTCCCCGCTCGTCGAATGCATTGCGTTGCCTGTCGAGTCCAAGGTGAGTGTGTTTAGATGCCGTGGACAAGACACCACCGGCAAGTTTGGCGCGCTCGAGTTGCTTGCACAAGCTCAACGTGCGGCAAACACGGCCACGAGCCCATACCTGCATGTGGCGTGGTCAAAACATCGACACCATACACGAGTGTACCTCGCTGCTGCGACTTTGACAGATGTCGACGTGTGGGAATGGAATCCAGCGGCATGCACCCTCCATTCTGTGCGAGTGTTCCTCAACGTGTCTCCACGGATATGTGGTCTTCAGTGGCATCCTCTCGAATGGACACTTCTGGTACATGCGAATCCTTGCATGGGTACCAGTCTTCACCAAATACGCCGCCCCCTCTCTAGATCCACTCGTCGTCAGCTCTCAAGTTCGTGTCACTGGAGTCGCCAGATGCTGACTGTCAAGTCTCAAACCCCATAGCGTCTGCGAGGCAGCTCGCTCGCTGGAATCCATCGGGTACACACTTCGCCATGTACGTCACCACGTCATCACTTGAAGCCGTTGGAGCTCACGACGACATACTTCACAGCACGGGAGGTGCTACCGTAACGGTGTTCAAGTGGTTAAAGTGGAATGCGCCGTACTCGAATGGCACAGCACACCTCCGAGTAACCGCGCTGTCCAGCCTCGACCTCGACACTCGAACTATTGTCGGGCTCGACTTCGTATCCGATCATGGTCTCCTTGTGACGACAGAGCGCCCCGTACAAGTCACGCGATCGAACGCCGCCAGTCCACTTACCATTGCTCAGACGAGCCGTGCCGTTGCTCGAGCGAGCACGTCCTTTGGAAGTCATGGCGACGTCGTTGACTTGATGCATATCAAGGCATCGTCGACGGCCTTTCTTGTCTTGCCGGTAAAACGTGCCGAGCAGTCCATTCTTGACACGCACGCAGGAACTAAATCAAGTTGCCACCGTCCAAAGCTGCCACTCCACACCTCCAGCAGCTCCTGTTTCGCAAGTACCTGCCAGCGCCTCGTCGTCGCTTGTGCTGCCAGTACGACTCTCGTATCGATCTCTCTCGCCGTGAATTGTCCTTGTCAGGAGCTCCATCCACCGCACAACGTGGCACACGCAGTAACGACTCCCACGTCCATGTTGAACGATGCTGATCCCAGCCGTTATAGAGCGCAGTCAAAGGTGCCCAAGCTCACTTCGTTTCCTGGACCCTCGCGGAGCCAACATTGCAGTGCACCGCCACGTTGGATATCCCTCAGTTGGCAAGTCCCGACATGGTCGCGACGGTGAGATGACTTGGTGAGCGACTGCTTCAATCAAGTCGCATGCGTAGTGCTCCACGGGCCCGAATCAAAGCGTCGTCGCAATTGGAAGCCACCTGACGTCCAAAACCATCCTCCTGGGACGATACGCCGCTCGTGACCAGTTGGAATGGCTCCCCGACGACGATTGCATTTCCCTGCCGTCGCGCCAAGTCCATGGCCTTCGCTTGACCCCATCTCGTGACGCCACCTCTGTCGTCGTTCATGTGTTGTGTGGAGTCAAACCGCCTGGTGGGTTCTTTGTGCCGTCGGCCGCTTGCGCTCGCCCGTTGGCTTACGAAGCACACACTCGCCGTGCATTGTGTCGACCACATGCCATCGATCCTACCGGCAGTCCATCGTCAAGCTTGGTCGAGATGGTTTCCCACCTCCGCCACTTCATTGAGACACGATTCGATCGAGTGGAAGACTCGCTGAGGACGCTGGACCGCCGTCTGCAGTGCGTCGAACGCGCCATGACCCCATCCAACCGAGTCCCAACCCCCCCTTAACGCCATGTCCACTTGGCCATGGACCAAGGATCGACCGCCCATTGCACAAGCCCTTGATCGCAATCAGGATGAATGGGAGCGAGTCCAAATGGGATGCATTCGGTGTTAAACTAGTAGAACAAGGTGGTGTTTTGGTTGTTTGTCGTTATGTGGGGCGACCGATTTACTCGACGACGGTCGCGACGACACCAGCGCCGATCGTGCGGCCACCTTCTCGGATCGAAAACTTCATGCCTTCGTCGATCGCGACGGGGTGGATCAGCTCAATGTTCAACGTCAAGTTGTCACCAGGCATGACCATTTCCGTGCCCTCTGGGAGCGTGACGTTGCCCGTGATGTCGGCTGTGCGGAAAAAGAATTGGGGGCGGTAGTTGTTGAAAAATGGCGTGTGTCGGCCACCTTCTTCCTTCTTGAGCACGTACACTTGAGCCGTCACCTTGGTGTGGGCGTTAATGCTGCCGGGCTTGCACAACACTTGACCGCGGAGCACATCTTCGCGCTTCAACCCGCGGAGCAACACACCGACATTGTCACCGGCTTGGCCGATTTCGAGCGACTTGCGGAACATTTCGACACCCGTGCAGGTCGACTTGGACGTGGCTTGGATGCCAACCAATTCGACTTCATCCCCAGGCTTGATGACACCCGTCTCAATACGGCCCGACACAACAGTACCACGACCCGAAATACTAAACACATCTTCGACGGGCAACAAAAACGGACGGTCGAAGTCACGAACGGGTTCGGGGATGTATTCGTCGACTTGCTTCATCAATTCAAGGATCGCATCCTTTCCAAGAGGCGAATCCGTGCCTTGGACAGCTTGCAACGCCGAACCACGGACGACAGGGATGTCGTCACCGGGGAAGTCGTACGAGTCGAGCAACTCGCGGATTTCCATTTCCACCAATTCGAGCAATTCTTCATCGTCCACCATGTCGACCTTGTTCAAGAAAACGACCAAGGCAGGGACACCGACTTGGCGGGACAACAGAATGTGTTCGCGGGTTTGGGGCATCGGGCCATCCGTGGCGGACACGACCAAAATCCCACCGTCCATTTGGGCAGCACCCGTGATCATGTTCTTGACGTAATCGGCGTGACCGGGGCAATCGACGTGCGCGTAGTGGCGGTTTTCAGTCTCATACTCGACATGCGACGTCGAGATCGTGATACCACGAGCGCGCTCTTCCGGGGCCTTGTCAATATCTTCAAACGCAACGAACTTGCCGCCACCTTGCTCCGACAACACCTTGGTGATGGCAGCGGTCAAAGTGGTCTTGCCGTGATCGACGTGACCGATCGTACCCACATTAAGATGCGGCTTGTTGCGCTCGAATGTCGCCATACCGCGGGACGCATGGCGGATGGACGCAGCACTACGGGAGACAATTTGGCGCAACATGGCAATATTCCGAAATGACCACAAAAAATGGGTGGAACGGGATCTCCGCCACTCAACCAAGCCGTGGACCCACCCCACGGCTGGGTCTAGCTCGTACTTCAACGAACTTACTTGTCATTTGTATAGAGGCACTTCTTTACGAACGTACATAATCGAACCCACGAACTTTACTGGGTCCACCCGTGAATATCGGCGAGTTGGTGGTGGCCTTCGTTGCGGTCTCACGGAGAGCCATGACGCGCGGGCCCGACCAAACAAACGATGAGCAGCGAGAATCGCGCCAGTGTGCGTAGTGCAGTGTGCCTGCTTGATAGTTGTGTTGGTGGAGCTATTCCATGGAGGTCCCTGCTTCCGCCATGCGTCCATTCAACGCACGAAGAAAACGTCGTGCGGTGTGGCTATCCACTTGGTTCGCTGTGCTCAAGTGCGAATATGGAGCAATGGCGACGCCGCTTCACAATCATGTAGATCCACGACCTGCCTTGTAGCCCTGCGTGGGTACGCCAGACTTGATCTGACTCGTAGGTCCAGTCATCGACGAGCGTGTTGCCCATGCCTCGACAATGCGTAGGAGTGTGTTGGGGTTGCATCAGACTCATCAGTAGGATAGTGTTCTCATCTGTGGTTTGAACCACATCATCTGACACGCATACTTGGTCATCACTTGCATGGATCCTTCGTCGACGTTCCGCGCTGCCCGACCAGCATCAAAATCACGAATGACAAGTGTATTGATTCCTGCAGGTGGGAACTATGAGATCCACGTGAAATGGGTTCTTGGAGGTTTTCTGAAACAAGCCGTGTAAACAAACCACTCGCCTTGTCGTGGATACGCGATCTTGTGGGCAAACAAACGCTGCGATCCTTCACAATCGATATGGAAAGGAACATCACGGTCAGCGACTTCAGTGCATCGAACTCGAGCTATACGCTTCGCAGGCGACATGAACATAATGGCCGCGACAACCGCAGTGTCATGGTGCAACGAATTTGACACCCCCCTGGCTCAAGGCATCCTACCAAGGGATGTGGCCTTCACATCTGTTGCAATAGGTTAGCGACTTCCTTGCTGTGCTTTCCCAACGCACCGAGCTTGCCCCTGCGCCAACATCTTTTCGCCGTCGTGCCTGCGAGGCAGGCGTGGCATATACGTCTTCTGGCAACTGGCTGTCTGCTCGCTAGACCCATGGCCTGGTATCCCATCGATTCGCCGACACCACATACATCATGATCTCTACTGCGTGGCAAGTTTAATCTTCCTCGCAAGGATATCGAATCACCCAGCCATGGTTGTGAAACTTACTTGCGTTCGAGGACCAGGGAAAAATTGCACGAAGATCCAATAAACAACTATCCATGGATTTCTGTCGTATCGCCGAGAACGCGACCTCTTATTGGTCAGTTTATTGGACTTATCCGGACGTCGGGAGGGATGTTGCAACGCGATCCTGAAACTACCATGTACTTTTTCAAATTTTTGAGTTGACTGCAGGCAAATTTTATAGCGTCGGAGGCAATACTTTTGACTTTTGTATGGGTGTGTCCCGCGCGACAAAAAAATGGTCGTGTAGTGCCGAATAAACCTCTGACAAATAATACCAACCCTGCTTGACTCGGTTAAAGTATGGACCAAAGAGGCTTCAACCAGCTGGATTATAAAGATGCAGAGTATTGTGGATTGGGAAATCGAACAGCTGCCCCCATTCCGCAAATTGATAGACGTGGGTTGGGTCGTTCTCCTCGGTCGCCGCCCGCCATTCCTTCCGCCGGTAAAGTCGCTCCAAGCACCCTCCAACCGGTCCGAGACGTTCCCTTCCGTGGCCTCCCCTTGCCGCATCTATTTATTCGACCCCGAAGAAAGCAATGGTCAAACGCAATGAGTGTCCCAATTGCCAGTTTTCCCTCGTTGATGCCGCCACCGGAACATGCAAAGTGTGCGATTTCATCCAAGCCAAGCAGCGTTCTCGACCTTGCTCGTCGTGTTCAAAGACCAATTGCCATTACTTTTGCGATACGTGCGGTACTGGGTACCACCGACGATGCGCCGAGAAAAACAAAGTACGGGTCACTCCCCTTGACGACGACAATGAAGTGTCAGTGGTATGTCCGTCGTGCGAAAAGGACGACAGCGGTGCCGAGGTGAAATGTGGAGGCTGCCGCAAGGAATTTTCCAACGAAGAGGCGGGACTACAAGTCGGGCAACTCGTCCTCGTTGAGTTTGACATGGTACTGTACAACGCTGTCGTGATAGAAGTGAACGAAGTCGAGACGAGCGTGAAAATCCACTTTGTCAAATGGAGCAAGAGCTTCGACGGGTGGTACAAAATGGACGACGAGCGTGTGAATGAAAGCCTGGCGTGCGATGGGTGCAACCGGTGGTTTCACATTGATTGTTTGCCCGAGGTGAAGAGCACAGGTCGCTATAAAGCCGCTTCGTACGTGTGTGAGTCGTGTTTTAAAGAGGCCAAAGCACACCGAACGAATGGAAAAGCGTCCAAGTCGAATATGACCTCTGTCGACCATCCGAAACCGACCAAAGATGCGACCTCACGCACTCGGTCATCGCGAAAAGTCATCTCTGAAGATGAATCGAACTGCGACGACGAAGACGAAAACGGCGACGTTGACGACGAAAGCGCGATAGTCTTGTCGCCGTCTGCGCTCGTGCAACTTCCCGACTTGCCCAAACGAAAGGTTGGACGGCCGTCGCATAAACAGCTCGAAGCCGAAAGGCAAGCATTAGCCAAGCGCAAAGCGCTGCTCAAAACTTTGAAGGAGCCTTCAAGTCCATTGGCTACGCCCGCGACCGCAGAAACCGACAAGAAGGACAAAAAGGACGAACAAGTGCCTATTTCATCGACTGTCGTTGAACTTGCACCGTCATCGACTATAGGAAAGATCGCAAAATCCCCACGACTGCGTGGCGCTGCCACTTCAAAGACCGCACCTACACCACCCCCTCCAGCGATGTTGTTGGAGAAACCAACCGCTTCGACACCCCAGACGCGACTACCGTCGTCACCAAAACGAAAAGCCATGGCTGACCGAAGCACCACTCGACCGACCACGACCACTTCATCGCCTTCCAAGCGGACGTCGACGGCCAATTCATCGCGAAAATCCAAGCCCTCATCGAAACCGAAGCGAACACCGATTGCCGCGCCCGCGAAATCGCCGTCTCCCATCGCCACAGACGACGATAGCGACGGGAGCAACGACTGCAGTGATCATAGCATTAGCAGTGGCGAGTCGGATCAGGACGAGCTCACTGAAGTGCAGCAGAAGGCATCACGTCAAGACAAGCAGCCACCCAATAAGAAATTGAAGGTTGTGAAAGACGAACCCAGGCAACCCGAAGCAACTTCGACCGCTCCGTTGATACCTCCCGCGGCGCAGGCATCTCCCTCGACACACCAACCTGTTCCGCCGACCACAAGTGCCCTCGAAGCTTCTCGGCAAACCCACGTCAACCACAACGCGTACCTGCCGAGGATGAGTGTGGGGCGCAAGGCCGCTCTTCCGTGTGCGTCGTCGTCCATCGGCAACTCCAAGCTCATTCTCCTCTCCACGCTACTCAACTCGCCACGATACGATCGAGCCAACCAAGAAAACTACCCGCCGTTGTTCCATCTCCAAGGCCGCAACAGGCTCGACATCTTGCAAGACGTGGCAAATCAAAGCATCACGTCGACAGTGCCTCCGCCGCCATCGTCTCCTCCACCGCCACTTCCTCCTGGTCCTGGCCCGCCCGTGTGCGTTGCGCCCGTGACGGCGTCGTCCGAGACCGGACTCGAGCACGACATGCACTTCTACCTGAGAGAAGAAATGTACAGGCTCGTGTGCGAGTTGGAAGAAGGTGGGAAAATGCCTAGAGATACTGCGACGCTCCTGCGGGCATGGACACATCCATCGGCACCGCGATTTCAAGACATGCGGTTTGTCTACTTGGTGAACAAACACATGAGTCGCGACCATTTGGCCCATCGACTTGGCGAGTTGACGAGGAAGCAGACTGCCCAAGTGCCCCACCACCACCCCCAACAGCACCAACCTCCGCCGCCCCTACCTCAGCAGCAGCACCACCCGCCGCCTCTTCCACCGCAGACCCACCACCAACTCCAACCCCCTCCGCCGCCACCAACTCCGCACAACCATTTCCAGCCAAAGCAACTCAACTGCCTCGCCAACCATCCAGTGGGCGCCACCCCAACGGCGCCGTTGGACTCGTATAGCGTCGTGTAAATTTAACTTAACCAAATCAGCTCTCGAGTGCAAGGGCGCGTACATCTCTCTCTCTCACGCCACGCAGGACAAGAGCGATTGAATCACTGCGCGCTGCTTTTCCAACGCCGAGACCGTCCTTTTCAATCCTTCCAGCTCTGCCATCATGCACGCCTCGTCGTCGGCGGCCGTGGCCACCACGTGGGTCTGTTTCGGTGCCACGCTGCCGGGTCGCTGGGCACCGCCGCAGATGGAGCATGTGGGCTGGCTCAACTTGGCCCGGATCTTGATCACTGCTTCTTCCAGCGCATGTAGTTTGTCCAAGACTGGGTTGTTCACCGCTTGTTCCACGAGTTGCTGGCCGCTGCGCGCTTGTCGGAATTTCTCGATCGCGTTCCAGAACGACGCTTCGTGCTTGCGGCACCGACCATCGGCGACGGGCACGACCGCGAACGGCTTCGACGACCAGAGCAACGCCGGCGGTTGGAGCGCCGACGGGCGGCGCAACCCGCCTCCTCCGTCTCGGTCGGCCTTGTGGAGCTGGCGCACGGCGACCTTCCATCGCATCCAATTCCGAATGGCCTTGCGTGCAGCGTGTTGTACGGCGTGCGTCGCCTCATTGCGTTGAATGTACGCGAGCATGAGGCGGTCCTTGTCGCGGAGTCCGATCTTGTGCAAAATCGCCACCACCAGCATCGTCTCGAACAGCGTTCCCTGGCATCCGTCGGTGAGCGCGACTTGGCTCGACGTCGGACGACTCACCAGCGCGACCATCGAAGCCGTCGCGACGCGGCCTTTCCACGTACGTGCGTGAAACGACACCTTCTACTCACGACGTCATCAACACTGTGGTCGCAGCTACCCGTACGTGGATGTTGAGCTGCGAATATGCAAACCACGTCGAGTTGGCAAACGTAAAGATGTCGGGCTGGTATTGTCGCTCGAGCACGTAGATCGAGATGGAAAACACGGGCAGCGCGGCGAAGAAGAGCACGACCAGGAGGCGGAGCGGCGACTGTTCGAATGCGACCTTGAGCGGGAGTGCCCAGTTGAAGACGGGGCTCGACGAGTGTAGGAATCGATGCTGCGGCCGCATGAGGTGCACGACGACAGTTGGATCGGTACCTGAACGATTTCCTTTCGCAGTCGAAAGATGGCGGCGTGATCGCGGTAGACCCGCGCAAGCAAGTACAGCCGGCCAAACATGAGGCATGACGCGGCTTGGTGCACCATCTCTTCAAGGAACGGCACCGGATGCACCATCAAGACTACAATCTCGATAGCCAGCGACGTCAGGAGCGATGCGGTCCACGTCGGACCAGGGCCAAACTCGGCCGAATCGCCCCAAATCGCATGATTTTCCTTGACGTAGAGCCGATACAAGTCGACGACTTGGATGAGCAGCACGACCGTCGACAGGGAAATAATCAGCTTGAGAATTGTGCTGAATGATGTGATGCCGAGCGCCCGCACCGAACCACCGTTGGTCGCGCTCCAGTCCGAGTCGGGGCCGACGGTCGAGTGCGACCACGAGAATTGCAGTTCCCACATCGCTAGCGCGAGACCCATGAGTGCGTTGATGCAGATCTAGCCATCGATGGTCATCCATGGCCTCGAAGAAGGAATGGCGGGGGTGCCGACGACGTACGTAGAGGTTCTTTTGTCGGTAGAGCTTGTCGAGGGTCCAGTCGCCGATGCGGGTCTCCAAGTCGCGCGCTTGGATGCCACCGCCGCCGCCGCCGCCTTTCGTGATCGAGTGCATGTGTGTCGTTTGCCGCATGAGCACGCCGAGCTGCATGTGCAGGATGAAGCGCTGGATGATCTTTTCCTTGCGGTTGATGCTGCCAAGGAAGAGCGAGATGCGCTTGGACGGCGAGGGATATGCCGACTGCGCGCGAACGACTACGGGACGTTTGCGGTTCGGAAAGAAAAATTGTTCGATCGATCGCCGATGAATCGCAAGCGACAAGCTGCGCGCCTTGACGGGTTTCACTTTGACGTGGCCGTCACGCGAAACCCGCCGGAATGGACGCAACAAGTGTGGGGCCATGGATCGCCGGGTCTTGCTGCTCGTGCGCAGCACTTCCTTTCGCGTCGCCACCGACTGTTGTTTCGTTGACGATGGCGGAGCCACGACCATGACGAGCTAGAGAATGGTCTGCACTCGTGGACGTAGAGGGGTTTCACGTCGACGGGCCAAATCAGTTTCCCACGCAGTCCCCGAAACGCCACGATGCATGCCACGTTACCTCCTCCAACAAAGGCAGCCATTCTGCAAGTCCTCCTCCGTGGGTGCGCCGCCCGCCGCTCCGTCCGCGGCGACACTACCTTGCCCGCGAAACAGCGGCGGTCTCGAGAACATCGAGTCAGTTACGCACGTCCCGCGAAAAGTATGTGTACTTTCGGAGAAAAATATTACCAGCCATGAGATACATTTACTATGTGTATAAAATAAAATGCAATCAATTGTCGGCATTCGACCTTGACATCGTCGCCGAGAGAAGTGCCTGCGCCATGAGGTGGCCGGCGGTGCGCGTCCTTGCCGACAAGGTTGACTCTAGCAGAGCATCGAATGCTGGAATCGTGACGGGTTCTATCGTCGGCGGCGTTGTGTTGCTTGTTCTGGTTGTGTGGAGGTGCTGGAGGCGTCGCTCGTCTCGTCCCAGAATGTCACACCAAGAAGCACCGCCAGACAAACGCTCCATTGACCTCGTCGTGCATGAAGACTACGTTCAAGTCATCGACCGCGACATGCATGCACAAGGCGACGGCAACAGCGACGACGTCATCGCCGTTATGAAGCACTTGGAGTCGGGGGGTGATAGTGACGTTGAGGACAATGTCGACAGCGTCCTCGAAGCCCACCGCCTCTCGGAACCAGTCGTGCTCTTGGAAGCTGTCTTGGGTCGTGGGACTTTTGGCGAAGTGATGCTGGGCCATTACAAAGACAACCTCGTCGCTGTTAAACGCCTTCGCCCGGATCACAACAATGTAAAAAACATTCGATCGCTCGTGCAAGAGATCGCGCTCATGACGCGGTGCGTGCTGCGCTTGGTAGCTCGCTACCACCTTGTTCAGCAACTGATCGTTGTGCAGATTTCACAGTCCGTTTCTCGTGCACTTTGTCGGGGCGATATGGACGACCCCCGACATGACGGACCTCATGTGCGTCGTCGAGTACATGGAACTGCGCGACCTGCAAACCCACTTGGCCAAGTCGAAGTCGGGGCTCAAGAATGCAATCCATTTTTCGTGGCCGCAAAAGATGGCGTGTGCGCGGCAGATGGCGCTGGCGCTCGAGTATTTGCATGGTCAGCAGGTACTTTACGTTGGTGGCGAGCGCAAGTGGCGTCGAGCTGCACGACGATCGCAAGACGAACTGATCCAAGCGGTGGCATGCAGGTCATTCACCGAGACTTGAAATCGCCCAATGTGTTTTTGAACCAAGCCATGGACGCCAAGCTCGGCGACTTTGGTATTGCGCGCCAAGTCGTGGAAAAGTCCATGAGCAATGCGGTCGGGACGTATCGGTGGACCGCCCCGGAAGTGCTCCAAGGCAAGTACTATACGGTCAAAGCGGACGTGTATTCGTTTGGGATGGTGGGTGCAGGATGTTGTTTGCCCACGCGCTTGGATCCACTGACCCGTCCGTCGTCGTTCCAGGTCTTATCGGAACTGGATACGCACGTCGTGCCGTACTTCGGCATGGTGAACGCCAAGGGCCAGGAGCTTGGCAACTTTACCATCATGTTCCAGGTACCGTTGGACGATCACGGCTGGATCCACGTGACGGACGCGGGTGGTTGGGACAGGTCATGAACGGTGCCATCAAGCCTGCGTTTTCAACAACTTGTCCGCCGTGGCTCCACGGCTTGGCCCTCCGATGCATCGAGTTCGACCCGGCGCTGCGACCCACGGCACAAGAGGTCGTGCATGAGATCCAAGCGCAGGAGAGGCTTCTCGCCGCAACGTGATTTTGGTCCCAACAGCGGGGGAATGCTAGTTATCTATTGGTTTATATTCCTTATTTTATACCAATCACGGAGCTCCCTCGAAAAGATCCTCTGGAAAATTGAAAAGTCGCCGAGCTACCACCTGCCATCGCTCGCGATGGCGCCGCCCCTCAAGATCCTAGTCGTGGGGCCCAAAGAAGGCGGCAAGTCCGCGGTGTGTGCATGGTGTCTCCATGACATGGACAGCTCACACACGAGCATAGATTGCCAACTTTCTCAGTGATAGCACTGACCGCCTGGGCAACCAGGAGAAGTATCAGCCCACCGTTGGCGTCCGGTGCGTCGTCGAGACGATTCGTGTCGTCGTTGTGGCACTCACTGCTTCCACGACAGGATCCTTGAATGCGAAAAGACCAACGGTCGAGCCCAAGCCAGCGTCGAAATTTGGGACTGTTCGGGTGATCAAGTGTACGAGGCGTGCTGGCCTGCCATCCTGAAAGATGCCAACGCAACGATTATCGTGTACAACCCGGACAGCCACGTTCATGAGAGTGAAGTGACGCTCTGGTACGAATGGTTTGTCCAGAATGCCGCCCTTGAGCCAGCGCAGTGCCTCGTCTTTGCGCATGCGAACGGCAAGGCCACTGTGACAACACGGGGCAAAGTGAATCTCCCGCCTAGCGTCAAGACAATCCAGACCAACTACGAGTCTCCAGGAGTGCTCAAGTCCGAGTTTGACACATTCGTGTTTGGTATTGCCGAGCAAGTGCAATTGCGTCAAGGAGGCCGCACTCGAAAATAGACAGCGCGTCCATGCCTGCGTATTGGGACTTTACTCTCTTGAACAACCTTCGTGGCCCAGTTGAAAAACATGTGCGGCGGCTGTCTCCAGAGTATTGTGATGTCGTAGTTGTTGTGACATCGATGTTCTTGGGCGTGCATTGCGGTAAACGGCAGAAGCAGCACAATCTGTGCATCTTGCGAAGTGACCGGAACATCCGCTTCTATCGAGACGTTGATATGAATTCATTTGGCTTGGAAGTACGGCTAGAGTGGCGTTTCTTTGCGAACCATGGCGTTGGCAGGTTTGCGAATGTCACCCGACAACTTGGCACGGATCGCCGCCACCATGCGCCAGCATCGCTTGCGTACGTCGACCAACGTGGCGCATCCATCAACGGCACACGTCGGCACTTTCGCGCCGCATGGCGGTTGCACGGCTGTCATGGTCGAGTCACAGTCTGGATCCAAGCTCACCCTTCGCCTTGAAGGATGCAACATTTTGCCGTAGCCATCGCTCTGGGAAACAAACTGTCCACGGTCGACCAGTGTGTTGGATGAGCCGATGCTGAAGCGCTCAGTGCTCCATGCGTTGGGCGCTTGTGCAATCATCGAGGACGCTTGTGGCTGGCACGATGACAAGTAAAGCCAACGGGACCTACATGTGTGTTACCGTTGTCGCAAAGCAGGTGTATTCGATGCAGAATTGCCGCAATATGGACAAATGCTTGCTATATGTGGCGTGTGCTTCGTTTCTCTTACATATGCAATGCCGTGGGAGTGGAAGTTGCCAACGTGATTCATGAATGCGTTGTTGTCTCGTAATGTGATTGGTCGGATGACGATCGTGACGGTTGACCAGCCAATCAAATTGGGTTCAAATGCCGGCGCATCGTTTTTGGTGATGGGAATAATTACCGCAACGATGAACTACCCAAATGCTTCAAACACGGACGGGCCACGAGAGCTGCCGACGTGAGTGGATTTTCGATCCGAGTCGTCTTTGGCGAGGTGCGGTTTTGGCTTTGCATTGTGCGAAGCCTGGCGAATCACAGAAAAGTCTTCGTGCAAACTCAGGCCTTTAAACCGTCGAGGGAGCTTGACATGGGTGATCGACAGCGTTAAAAAGTCGCGCCAGTTCAGTTCATTCACGCACAAACAGTCAAAATGCGTGAGCCGGTCGTGGTCCAACTACCGACGAGCCACAATGTTGAGCCAGTGTGTGGCCGTCGACACAAGAGATATCCATGGGAGAGGGCTACCTTTGCACCACACACGGAGAAAAAGGTGGTTTGGCACAGCAAGTTAAACAGCAGCGCTGGAATGGCCTCGACACGAACGAGGTAGTCCACGTTGAGACGGACCCACCCTGCACACCACAGCGACGACCCATTGAGCAGCAGCAATTTGGAGTCACTCGTGCACACAATGTCGTCGACAGGTTCGACCAGCCCTTGATGGGGGGCGAGAAAAACCCGACGGAACGGCGCAGTGATGTTCGAGTGCATCAACCGCACATGAGTCACCGACTGGAGGAAGCCAAATGGCGACACTGCGCTCCGCCGCTTCATGCGGCGCGAGTGATGTCGGGCATCGGCTCTTGTCGCTGCTAGTACGATGGCCTGCACAATTGAATGAGTTGTTTGCAGTGCTGATCAAGGAGGTACATACCACGTACACGATGAGCACCATGCATGCGACGATAAGCCATGACAGATCGTACATGACGAACCACCAGGGCATGCCCCGCAACGACCCGTACGACCTCGTCGGAAGAAATCCCGGCGCGCTTTCAAGTTGATTCTGTCACGACAAAGTAGGAGGAGGGCAGCGCAGTCAGAACGAGCGGAGTTGGTTCACTGCACGTGCCAATTACCTGGTTGTACATTTTAGCCAGGTGTCGGTCGACTGCTGGAAGCGGAAGCAAGAATGCCGATTGAAAGTGCTCGCATAGGCAGAAGATGGCGAGCACGACCATCGGCGACAGACTCAAGTCAAAGTGGCGGGCCACCCACGACGCAAGCGCCATAAACCACGTGAGCAAGTTGGCTCGAAGTGTCGGGTCGTCCATAGCTGGCCACAGGTACAGCTACAATTGGATCACGATCGCCCTCCTTCCCCATCATACACCACACGTACGCGAGTGTAGCCATGTCGAACAGCCAAGATTCGCAGGCCCCAGAATTGATCGCACATCATAGCAAGCATGATGAGCCACGCCCGACTCGCCAGCGTGCGTTGCACAGCAGGAAATACTTGAGGCAGCGCAACTTTTCCCGTGGCTTTATACCGACTGACCACAACCACTCCAGTCACAATCAAGTTGACCAAGAGGCGGCCCCACACTCCCACGACAATCAAGGCCTGTCGACGGAGAATGAAGAGGTGACAGCCACGGAGGAGCCCTGCCAGTACCTGTATCCACGCGTACGTATGCGAGATTGTCGTTTGGTGCATCACGTCCATGGCCGTCAGGTAGTCCAGAGCCGTCGTCGTGGCTGGCTGCGCCCACATGAACCTATTTACCCATGGTCTTCGCTCAAACGAACATGGTTCATTTGGTGGATGAACTTCGTACTGAATTGTGTGGCCCAGCAACTCGGAGGGTCCTTGGGCACCATCTCCAAAAAACACCCCTTGGATGCCAAGTACATCGACGGTACCATTCGACGTTCGCAATGTCCATGCCACAGGCCGAGCCTCCATGACATCGACGTTTTCATCCAGCCGCGATGTCGATCCCAAGCGCAGACTGTACAAAGGTGCTGTAGCGTGGCGATAGCTTGTCGGGTTGCGGCGCAGCGCGGTCAGGTTGGTCCAAACGGTGGCAACCAAGACACAAGCTTCATCTTGGTGTATCTACAAGATTCGCATGGATGACACACCTCCATTGTCCACATCGTTTCGTACGGTGGGCCGCAGTGCTCGTAAGGTTTGGATCGTGTAAGTCACGAGCTGGCTCCGCTCAGCGTCGGCCACGTGTACTGTGAAAGACCAAAGCATTACCAGTGAGTCGCCCTTGCGATTGAAGGGCGTACCTCGGAGAATCGAGCCGTCGACGAGGCCTGTGAACGAGCAATCCACGACGAGTGTCGCCGGTGCAAAGAACGACGGAATTCCACGCGACGCTTTAGATTGCCGCAAGATCCTTGCCACGACGTCGAGCTGGCTTTGTACGATGCCATATGCATCGATGGTGCAGCCGTTTGTCTGCTCGCTGTAAGGATCACTATGGAGAAAGACGATTGGAGACGCTTGCGCCGCCTCCGCTCGCAAGTCGATAAAGTTGGAGATGGTCGAGCTGCGATACGATATCGTTTGTAGATTGGAGTAGTTTCGGCCCCACAACGTTCGTTTTAGGGCAAACGACCCGCACAGCTCAATGTACAACGTGACGACGACAGCACCGAACGAGAGACATCGCGTGAAGAGCTTCCGAGACCGTCGGCGGAGAGGCAAGTTGAACGAGTTAGCTTTCGCCACTGCCTGGAAGTGCATGCCGCGGGGGGTCACGGTGGAGCCAGGAACCGGCCACGAGTGCCACCGAGGAAGTACCGAATTTGAGAGAACTGCGCAAGTACTCATTGTAACCGATCGCGTAACTGTCGAGCTCACCAGATGTACGGACCGAAACGTCGTCACTCGAGTCGGTAGTTCGATCGAAGCGGACGTTAACGATGGCGGGCTGCATGAGCACTTGCGCAATCTCAATCGACGGCGCTGAGTGCTACGGCATGGTGATGCTCGAGACCATCTGCAGACATGGCCAACTACTACCAACATCAGGTTGCGCAATTCAACATGGTGGGGATCCATGGTTGTCGTTGGGTTCACGTCCCGTGTCGAGTCGTTTGTCGCATCAGCCAGTTGGATTGGTCACAGAGCACGCTAGGTTGTGATGGTGGAGGGACTTGAGCATTTGGGGTCGTCTTTGCTGGAGTAGATTGTACACGTCAAATGGAGAAAGTCTCGACCGAGTCGAATGCGGTTATGGTTGAGCGTTGGGATCGATTCGCTGGGATGAGGTGGCTGGTGACCGTGTGCTGGATCCATTTGTACCCACGCAATGTGTGGGTTTATGACGGCAGGAGGTGACGTTCGCCGGGCCAGTCGGCTCGCTCGACTAGATCAAACCGTAGCTTTCGCCCTCGAGACATGAACCCAGGCATTGCGTGCAGTGTTCCATGCGACCCTCTGACTCCTTCGCCACGAGAGAGCCGACAGAACAGAGGGGGCAAAATGTTGTCACCAATGTGTAGTGTTGAATGCCCCGCTCCTGTTGAGTTCTTTCTCCCAGTGTTCGATCAATGGAATGTCATGTGCCCAAGCTCGAGGTAGCGCCCGCCATGTTGTGGTGTCGAAGGTGACAAGGTAGTTGCGTTGGGCTTGGACGGCAGGAGGGCCATAAAGGACGCCAGACGCACGGTCCAACAAGTACATGGCTGCTCCACACCGTGTCCGTTGATTGTCATATTGGGCAATGACGCGCAGAAGAGGAGACAAGTGGCATGCGACGCCCATACCGAATTCTGTTTGTTGGCAAAGCACACGACGACGCACTCGTCGAGCACCAGCAACTGACCGACGAACCGATTGATACGGCTGGTGTCGCACACCCCGTTTGTCCAAGTCACAGTCGTCTCGATCGCGCTCTCGCGGGGGACACATATGTAGGAACGAGGTTGGTCTATGCAGCGACTGAACACCTCGCCGGGGCACTCGACTTGTAGGCATGTTTGGCCGTTCGCCCCTGCGTCAACACGGTGTAGATGCCATCCGTTAACTTCGAAATCCCACCACATCTCGCCCGACGAGAGCAGCGAATGTCCCACGCGACTGTCTGGGATGCTTCCTGCAGAGAATTGACTGGTTCGAATGTGTTGGTTGCGCCACGAGGCGGCCGATGGGACCATCGAACTCGACGACTTCGCGCTGTCGCAAGAGCCACTCGAACGCAACGAGCCCCAAAACGTACTGAACAACGGCGGGTCGGCATGTAGTCTTAGCGTGTATCATACAACGTTAACCACTCGCAACGACGCAGGCGTCGCGACGTCGCTGAGCGATTTTGGACAACACTTGGCAGCGTGTCAGGACTGGGCTGTTTGCTTGAGGAAGGTGGGGCACTTGACGGGTCTTGCGATCTGCAAATTGTCGCCGCCGACATCGAGTTGAACCGACTACCGAGTGCCACAGCGACTACGATTGATGGAATCATGCTGTGCCATACAGCTAGCAGCCATGAACGGAGCATGTCCAGTTGGCCACAAAGAAGAGCGACACTTGCGGGGCGATTTTGGCTTCATCGCACCTGATGTTGCTACCGAGGAGACCAAGGCCATTCCATGCTGCAGGTTGTCGATATTGGTTGGATATGAATAGAACTGCATTGTACTGTGGTGGAGCAGTCGAGTCGATGTCGACGATAGTCACAATGGCCGTATTCAATGTCGACCCGGCAGATATGCGTGCCACGTGGGGCGTTATCCGCGAGAGATCGCAACAACTGGCGCAGGCATGGACCGAGTCAGCGCTTGGCCCCTACGACTCGTCAAGGTTGCCGAGCCCAAGCAGGAGATCACGACCAACGCGTTCGCAAACACAGAGGATGAACTGGCCCGGATGAAGTGCTTCCCGGCAACCCTCGACGAGTTGGTGTCATTTGTGCGGACGCGTTTGGCTAGAGGCCACCGCATGCGGAACGACGTTGGCGACGTCAATGGACGGATGCGTGCCCCGTTTCTGCTTCGTGAACGGACGCACGCGATCAAATGCGTATGTCGGTTATCCCGTTTGACTTGTAATTCAGAGCATGACGAATGATGCGATTTTGCAATCTTTCCACTAGCCCTCTTCGTCCTTCACCGAAAGAGCATTGCCTTAGACATCTGCGAACCATCGCTGGCCTCTGGTTCTCGTAGTGACGTGGTTGATATCCCCAACCTTCAACGCGTCTGCCCAATAACTCACGTCCGCCGGCGATCGAACATGTCGATGCAGTGGCATCAAGTACACAGTCCTGTTGCATCGCTTGCGGCGCCCTTGCGTTGATGGGCTACCGAGGCCACCAACTCCCAAGTCTGGTCGAAACCGACAAACCCGCACCAGACACGCGTCGACCGCTCGCAGGGTGGACCTCATTTTCGATCGTGCTGGCAGAAGGAGCATCTCACGCTCTGTTCTCGTGGAATTTCGTCGGGACGCCGCCATGAGCGGGCGAGTCGACTTGCATGGGGATGATGGAGGTGAGATGTTGTAGCTGGTAGCTAAACCAAGTCACGACCATGGTCTAGTTGCCTCGGTAAACGCGTCCCATACTTTGTCTTGGACAAAAAGGTTTCGGTCACGGCCAAGTATGTGCAGCCGCTCATGACCGTGGCCACCACATATGTACCGACCCGACGACTCGAACACTCCGTTTGTGTCTCGTTGCGACAATGTATCGATCGTGCGAGGCGAAGTTGTGCATACAGTGATCTATTGTCATCTGCATTTGGAGCGATCTCGGACGGAGTCCGAACAATTCAATCAGCGACCAACGCAACACCGCAAGACGCATGTCGACATCGCCTTCGAGTCTTTGGCCCAGCGCAGCACTGGTTGCGAAGAGCGATCGCATTCGCGTGGGATCTGCTGTGGGTCGGCACTCCATCCGGATGTGTAGGCGGTTACGATGCGAGATCCGGATACTCTTCATTTGGATCGCTCGATCGACATCGAAGCTACCGCCAACGCCCTCCTTCGTCCATGTACTCGCCGTCTGCGGGCTCGGCCTTGACGGCTCTACAACACGCCGTGGCGCTCCCCGACGCGTTCTCGACCCAAGAGTATGTTCGTGCACTTCGTCGAAATCACGACGACGTCACGAAGGCCGCGGTACAACTCAGAGCCAAGCACGCGTGGCTGAAAACGAATCAATTTGACAACCTCAGCCTCGCCAAACCGTCCATACAACGTGAAGTGAAGAAGCAATACTTGCAAGTCCTCCACAACGCCACGGACAAGTGCAAGTGCCCGGTCGTAGTGTTTTCCGTCTCCAAGTTCCACCCGTCTCAGTCGTCGGACAAATTGGTTGCAGGCAGGGAGCAATGCACCGACCATGGCGGGGCGTCTCTCGTCGATGAAAGCACAAGCACGTTCGAGGACGCCCGGCGTCTCATTGTGTACATGGTTACCTTGGCCGTCGAGTTGATGGAAGACGAGAACGCCCCAGGCATCGTGTACCTCATCGATATGGACGGTGGGTGAAGACGAGTTCTCGTCCACTGCAGGTCGTCAACACAATGAATTCTTGTAGGGGTATCGACCAACGTCGTCACCGAAGGCAGCGTCCACATTGAGCTCCTCCGCATGCTCAAGGAATATTACCCCGAAACAGTCCAGTTCTGCTTTGTCGTTAACTTCTCCACCAACACGTTCGTGCAGCAAGCGACGGCCTACGTGCTCAAGTCGCTGGGGATATCGGAGCGCACGCACGCCAAGATCAAGTTTATCAAGGACGTCCGAGAACTCCATCCGTATTTCAACGCGCCTGCGTTGCCACAAGCATACGGAGGTACGTACATGCATGGGACTGTGGGCAACCTGGGTCGTTGGTATGGTTGCGGCGACGGCGCATTTGCCGCCTTGTGCGGCACGACCAATCCACACCTTATATACGACGTCACGTGTGCCATTGTAGGCGCGTACAAACTCATGCCCGCTGCGACATGGATGGAAATCCAAGCCGACATGGAAGGTCTCGACTTGGACGATCTCCCTGCCGAAGAAGAATCGACTTACATGGTTCGTATTGTATCCAGATGAACGGTTTTGGTTGACATACTGGTCGATCCTGTGCAACCAATTTGTTGCGCCTTGTACTGTCATGGCCCGATGGCATGAAAGTGGGGGTGCGCCTCGACGCAGACCGTATGTGCGTTCGAAGCCGTCGCTCGTGTGGGTAATGGTTCGTTTTCACCGGCGCTCGCCATTCCCGCCAGTCATGAGGGAATTGTGTCGAGATCCTGTGTTCTTCCGACTGTGGTCGTCCTCTTGCCCCTCCCTTTCATGGACGAGAAGGCTGACGTGGCAATGTTCCAGACGAAACAAGCTCGTGAGCTCAACGGGATGCAATACGCGGCATGCTCGGTCAGCGAAGTGGTGTAAGTCGACCATCTCCATGCCTCCTCTCTCGATGACGTCACCTAGAGAAATGAACACCACCGTGCTGCGGGGTACGTTGTGGCGCAACAAGAGCGGCATCAGCTGGGTCAAGATGTATGCCGTCCTTCGACCGGACGCACTCTTGCTGTACGAAGATATCAAGGGAGCGATGCCCATGGTCATCATTCCCGTCAATCACGACGTCGCGATCGCAGCCGCGCAGGTACGCGTGGACGGCAACAGACTGTCGATGGATTTTCGATAGTTTGACAATGCGCCCCGCGGCACGTTTGGATTTCGAGTCGACGTGGAAGGCGTGCCCGGCGGCCATTTGCTCGCAGCCGCGACGGAGAAAGAACGCGGCAACTGGTTGCAGGATATCCAGATGGGCATTCAAGCGTTCCAAGATCTGCATGCGCGCGAAGTGTACGACGAAGAGCGACGCATTCGCATGGACCAAGAGTTTGAGAAGCTCAACATGATTGACTTTTCCACCGAGCTGTAGGATGCACGCAACTTGCGTCGTCGTTGTCAAAGGACGGACTCATCGAGTTGTCGCAGGCCGGTGCAACCGTTGCCGCCACGCGCAAGTCCGTCCATTGTCGGTACAAGCCAGGAAGCTCCGTTCTTGCCCGCTGCTTCTCCCACCACCAACCGTCAACCTGCCACGCAGCCAAGTCGTGGAACACACGCCGTCGGCGGGACATTTGACGCTTTTGAAGGTTTGGCACTGTCGACACCGCCATCGCAGATGTACGTCGGTCAAGTCGCACCAGCACGTTTCGGTCAGAATGCACAACCCAACCATTTGCCGCCCCAGCAACAGATCCAGTTTGGACAACCACCCCAGCTCAACCCGACCCTGCCGTATCCCCAAGGCTATGGGCAATCCCCACAACAAGCATATGCACCACAGCCACTTCACTCCTCGCAGTCGCACATGTACCCTCCACAGCAGCAAGGACACCCCCAACACGGACTGGCCACTCACGGATTCCCATCGCAACGTCCCCAGCACCCGCAGTTTGCTTACCCCCCGCCTCCTCCCAATGCAAGAATGTACTAGCCAAGACAGTGGAATACATGGAATTGACAGCCGGGTGGGGCGGGTCGTGGTCTACGCAGTCGCTTCGGCGGCGGCTTTGGCCGCAGCTTCCCGTCCACCGTTTTCCCACCTGAAATGGACGGCAGCATGAGCACACGTCGTCGATGGAAGGACATGAACGTACGCGAATTTGCGGTAGAGCTGGGTCAGTCCAGTGCCAGCCATGAAAACGTTGACACTGAACAAGTTCCAGTTCTTGGGGGTGACCACCAAACTGTAGCGCGACCAAATGATCCCCGTCAACGCGACGGCGATTTGCTGGTTCGTCGAGAGGAGTTCAGGGCTCTTCTTCATGTCGGCAATGTTGGCAATCGTGATGCACCATTTGAATGCAGGCGCCCAAAAGTGCACTGCACACAACACACGATGGTCAATTCGAACGAGAAGCACCGCGTTGAACAACGTTCTCTCAAGACGTACCTGTGAACGGTCCGGCAGGGTGGCCCAGGAAGTTGACCAAGGTAGGGTTCTTCGCCACCAAGTCGTTCGCGAGGACCGCTTGCTTCAGGCGCGGGACAATGCTGGGAAGGACCATCGCGATATGCGGACTGCATCACCCACACCGCCAGGATGATGGCGATTGTGCAATCGTGGGATTTCATCCAATGAAATCGCTAGACATGTGGTATCAGCGATCTAATTCGCTTATTTATAGCCAATGGGTGTTCAAATGATACATCAGTGGCATCGACAGGTTTAAGTCGTATCCGGAGAGATGTGCCTTTAACGTAGCGTTAAACCACGGATATAGAAACGTCAAAACTGGACCAATCAGAAACGAGGGGCGGATCTTGTATCAACGGCCCACTTTGCAATTCTGACGCCATGAGCGGCCACGAGTCGGTCAAGGCCAAGTCGCAGCTCAAGAAGAGCACGCGGGCGCGCTCGGCACACGCAGACTTTGTGCGCAAGTCCAAACAGGTCACGCTCAACAAGCGCCGCCGCCTACCATCGCAAGAAATGGACAACGACATGGACGACGTCGAGTTCCAGCAACTCGTTCAAGCATTGCTCGCATCGCCCGAGCACACGTTGCCGATCCTGGAGCAAATGAAGGCTGGACTCACGGATTGCAGCGCCCAACGCCTTGACAATGTCGCTGAATCCGGTGTGATTCCAGTCTTGATCGACTTGCTTGAACGCCCGTCGTCCACAACGATGGAGCTGACCCAAGTGCTTTGGATTCTCACTTTCATCACGTCGGGGCTTTACGAACACACAAAAGCCGTGTTGCCTGCAGTTCCTACGCTTCTTGCATTTTTGCAGGTATGTATCGTTATTCCACGCACTGCGTCCTTCACTGTTGTGTCAAGAACGCAGACTTGGCCGAGCATGCCGCGTGGACGCTGGGCAACATTGCAGCCGACTGCGAAGAATTTCGGCTGTACTTGATTCGTCATGGTGCCATTGGGCCGCTTGTGGAGCACTTGAAGCACCCTCAACCGGCCATGCTCAAAGGTGCGAAATATTATGCACTGCAAAATGCCTAGCGTGCTCACTTACGGATCCATCACCAGTGAGTTTGTGGGCCTTGTCCAACATGGCGCGAGGAGTTCAAACGTCGGCGAAAGCCTTCTTCGACCACGACATTGGTCCGATCTCACTTCAGCTTCTGCTGGCGAACGAAACCCCGGACGTCGTGCAGGAGCTCCTGTGGCTGCTGAGCTTCTTGACGGCGAAAGAGGACAAATATCTGCACTGGTTGCTGGACCACAACCTTTGGGCGGGATTGTTGCACCATTTGGACGAGAAGGATCCAGCCGTTTTGACGCCGCTGCTTCGCGTGACGGGTAACATTTGCTGTGTGAACCCCGAGGCGGCGTCATGGCAACTACCTTACATTCAATCGATCGCGTGCGAATTGCGGTTTTTGTACATGCTCAAGCGCTTGTTGTGGCTCGAGAACGACTCGTAAGTAGATCGTTCCTGCTCAACGTCTTGCGACAGTTGATCGTTGCTGTGGAGCGCTGCCAAGCAAACATTTCACCGCACTCTGTATAGCCATGTCGTTGCAGAAGCTGCATGGGTCGTATCCAATTTGGCAGCGCGGGACGCGGCGGTCGTCGAGTTGCTGGTGAAACATGACTTCCTGCCCCGTCTTGGGGCTTGCTTTCGCGATGGCGGCTATGACATACGCAAAGAGGTGCGTCCTCGTCAACGCAATGGATTGCAAGCGGCACTGCATGGATGGGTGGCAGGCCGCGTTTGCACTGACCAACATCGCGATTACGTCAACTACTTATGCGGAGCAAATCGTGGCCCTGGACGTCATCGACGGCTATGTGACGTTGCTTTCGGGTACGTGGACGCTGCTGCCAGGACGAGAGGCTAGAACTTGACGATGATCGTAGTCCCCGACCTGAATGTCGTGGGAACGGCGCTCCAGTTCATTGAGCACGTCCTGCGGCATGTGCCGCGCGGCGTGTACACCGTCGAGAGCGCCGGCGGCATTGCCGCTCTGGAAACCATCCAAGACGGCACGAGCGACTTCCTCGCCACCAAGGCCGAACAGCTCGTGAATGAGTTTTACGGCGAATCGTACGACGCACCGTTCTCGCCACCGGGCCATGCCCCAGAAGGTATGTGCATTGGTTTTTGCAAGTAGACTGGAGGTCATCCTGGCTCGTGTAGCAACCTTCAATCAGCCACAATCAAGTCCTCAGTCGACCGCAGGCATGGGACGTGGGGCTCACATGACCCGTCCAGCGTGGGCGGCGCAATAGCCTTGCTTGATGACGTGTCTGCTCGGAACTGGCAAGTCCTTGTGGCGACGTCACCATGCTTCTATGACACGGATATCCCATCGTATGGAGAAGAGTTTATAAACTGTAATTGGTGGCACCCCAAGGGATGGATGCGTTGGAAGGTCTGGTCTACTTGGCGGCAGGTGCCATCTCAACGAGGACGTGGCCGTCCGAGACGAAGTCGCCAACTTCGCAGTTCATTTCCGCGACTTGCCCGTCTCGGGGGGCTCGAAGCACATGCTGCACGACACCGCATGAGTTTCTCGTGGCGTTTGATTCACATGGGACGATGACGTACCTCCATCTTCATCGCTTCCATGATCAACAACGGCTGGTCCGCCACGATCGTGTCGCCAGCCTTGGCCATCACCTTGATAACTTTCCCAGGCATTGGGGTCACCAACGATGCCGCCCCACCCGCACTCGTGCCATGGCTGTCGTACGACGGCTCGGGCACACGCAACTTGTACTCGTACGCGAGCGTCCCGTCGTTGCAGAACAAGTGGACGTCGTGCTTCAACACGACCGCCGTCCCCGTGAACGTTTCGTTGCCGACGGTCAGCTTGAAGTCGCCCGTGGTGAAGTCCACCGAGTGCACTTGGACCGTGGTTCCGTTGACAATGTACGATTTGCCATCGGTCGACGTCGATGCCAAGTCCATGTCCATGGGCGCGTCGTCATGGAGCAGCGTGAAGTGGCGATGGAACGTGTCGAGGGATCGGAAGTTTTGGAGGGACGTCCACGGCGACCCGGCGTCTACGACAACGTCCGTGCGTTAGCAATAGCCCATCGCCTCGTCCGGTGCCGTGTAAAGTCCTACGGAGCCAAGTCGTACCAGCCACGGTCGCTTCGAAGCGCTGCGTTTGGTGTTGCTGCTTGAGCACGAGCCATACAGCGGTCAGAATCGGAGCATGGGACGGCAGGTTGGAAAACGGAGTCAAGAGGTCGTCGCCGTGTTTCTACAACACGCGTAAGAAGGAGCTGGCGTGACTATCACGAGTTGCAGTTCCGCACCAAGAGGAAGCTCGTATCAACACCGCCCTTCATAAACTCGGGGTGAGCGGCAGTGCGCGCCACAAACTCAATGTTGGTGGGCAATCCCACGATCTACGTCGCCAATTACCATCGCGTTGTGCCATGGGTCAGTGGAATGAACCTGGTACTGGCCCAAAGCACGCATGAGACCTTCGATCGCTTCTTTTCGGTTGGACGCATGCACGACGAGCTTTGCGATCATGGGATCGTAAAAGATGGACACAGCGTCGCCCTGGACGATGCCCGTATCGACTCGAACTTTGTCGCTAAGAGGCGGGAGGCGGAGATGGTGCAAAGTCCCGCTGCCAGGGAGAAAGTTGCTAGGCAGATGCACGTCGACGTCAGCGTCCTCGCTGCATCACAAAGACACGTTCGATAGACATACTTGTAAGGGTTTTCGGCGTAAATTCGCGCTTCAATCGCGTGGCCGTGGATCTTGAGGTCTTCCTGACGCACGGGCAGCGCTTGACCAGCGGCAACCTTGAGCTGGAGCTCGACCAAATCTTGCTGGGTAATGAACTCAGTGACGGGGTGTTCGACTTGGAGACGCGTGTTCATTTCCATGAAGTAGAACGACTCGTCTTCGTCCAGGAGGAACTCGACAGTCCCGGCACCGACATATCCGACAGCCTTGGCGGCGGCAACGGCGGCATCCCCCATCTTCTTGCGGAGAGCTTCCGACATGTGCGGCTACGACGAGAGATGAAAAGGTGCTCAGGTTGGGCAATGTGCAGGGTATAGCGTGATAAACGTACGGCGGGGGCTTCTTCCAGCACCTTTTGATGGCGGCGCTGGACACTGCAGTCGCGTTCGAACAAGTGCACAACGTTGCCATGCTTGTCACCGAAAATCTGAAGTTCGACGTGGCGAGGACGACGGAGGTACTTCTCCACAAGGATGTCGGTGCTAGCAAACGACGCCTTGGCTTCGCGGACACAGGCCTCCATGTTGTCCTTGAGATCTTCTTCGCGGTCGACAATACGCATACCCTGACAACAAGGTGCCCAGTGAGACGACAAGAGAATGCCCACCTCGGCAACGCACCTTGCCACCGCCACCCAACACGGCCTTCAACAGGACGGGGTAACCGATCTTGGCGGATTCCGCCTTAATACGTTCGAAGCTTTGATCGGTGCCGTGGTACCCAGGAGTGACAGGAACCCCCGCGGCAATCATGATGTCCTTGGACGCGCTACATCCAGGCGTTAGTTCGTCAATGCTATCAAGACCAGTCCAAGCATACCTCTTGGAACCCATGGCTTCGATGGCAGCGACTGGAGGTCCGATGAATTCGACGCCTGCGGCAGCACAAGCCTTGCAAAATTCGGCGTTTTCGGACAAGAATCCGTACCCAGGATGAATTGCTTGTGCACCGGATGCTTTGGCAACACGGAGAATTTCATCAAAGAGGAGGTAACTCTCAGCCGCAGGAGGAGGTCCCAATCGGTATGCTTCGTCTGCCATTTTCACGTGTTGTGCATTTGCGTCAGCATCCGAGTACACTGCGACAGTGCGGACTCCAAGCTTCTTCGCTGTGCGCTGAACGCGGCATGCGATTTCGCCGCGGTTAGCAATGAGGATTTTGGAGAACATGGGAGTTCCGTCGCTGCGCGTGAAGGAGGAGCTCCATCGCGAGACCAGCGGGGTCGACGTTAGCGCGCGGCGACCGAGCTTCAGCATGTCGAGCTCGTTTCAAGAATGCTGCTGCCCATCGCGCGCCTCAATTAAATTCAAGCGGCGATATCCCCAGGATCTTTATACAATTCAAGCGACAATTAAATTCCGTAGATATCAGTGAACTTTCATATCCGGATGATTGTCTTCAACTAAAGTGGGAGGTCGAGAATTTGATTGGCCATTGAATTTGTTATCCGGTCACTACCTGGCTTACCACATTCAACCTTGCCACCAAGTTCAAGTCGCGACTCATAACCTCCAGCCAAAGCATCGCGCGTCGCCTGAAGCGCGGCGACGGCCGTTAGCATAAACAGCGAGCGGTCTCTGTAAGTTAGTGGCTCCACAACCACTTCCTCGTCGTTCATTCTTTACCGACGTGATTTTCCGTCGTGCGCGCCTTGATCGCAAGCAATGGTTGATCGCTTGCGATTCCCATGTCATGCCGCCACCATTGGAGGCACGATATCTGGGTGAACGGGCAATCGGTCGCTCACCAACGGCCCAAACCCTTCCCGCCGGCCTCACCCGACTTCACCAGAGTAGAATCTCAGCGTTGGGCCGCGCACTCCCAACCTCCAATACAAATAAATACCTTGTGCAAATTCATCCAAATCCACAGAAATTCTGAAAATTCGTCGAAATCTAATCAAATTTATGTGCAGTAACTACTTCGTCAAATATTCATAAAATGCCTCAGATGGGAAAAAATCCTCCGTCACCTCACGACGAAGCGAGCAACAAGCACTTCGTCGGCGAGTCTCAAAATCGACATGCTCATCACCGCCGCGCGTTGAACGACCACATTTCAGGCGCAGGTACAGGGAAAAGGCATCTAAGCGGGTCGGTGAAATATCCGTGCGGATACGACAATGCAACCAGCGCACTAGGTTGGATGCAAGAACTTTGTGTCTGTTGGACAGAGCGCAAACCTTCATTCACACCTCTCATCTGAGGGGTCATATCCACCGAAGCGATACTGTCCTGCCCACGACGTCAGGATAGGACAAGCGCTTCGGGCGTGCATCGCAATCTCCTGCCAGCATGGCACTCATTTCCTCCAAAGAGGCATTGCAACGACGCGTTCTTCTCATGCGCCCTACCACACAGGAATTCTCACCTGCGTATTCGCGGCGGTCATGGGAGTTCAGTTCCATGGTCGTCGAGGGTTTGCTAGACGACATCAGCAGCTCGACAATGCACTCGTGTTCGTCATGAATAACCTGCACATGACGTGAAATTTTCAACCTCCCCACCGCAACGACGCCACAACGGCCTGCAGCAACAGTTAGACCTTGGGCCAAGCCTCCAGTACTGATCAACAACCCAACGCACACTTGCCATCTTGCGGTCATTGCGAGAATGACATGGGCATCCCTCCATTGCTACCGGCCTTGGCCTGATCACCCGGGCTGTGGTGGACTGCCGAACCAGATCATTTTCCTGCCCCTAGTGTCGTCGAGACTCTTCCCTGGAATTCGCAGATTCTATCCCGGGAACCACTGCCAGACGGACCCAGAATTGGCCGCTTCAAGTTCGGGCGCACCCGTATGACATGTACCATCGTACCCATGGATGACAAGGCACTTGTCTGTGCAGCATTGCTTTGCAAAAATTTTCAAGAGAAGCGCATTTGCCTTTCACCAATCTCCCGAGTCTTCCACGGAAAACAAGCTTACGTGGTTGCAGCGCCCTCTTCGAGATCCCTTCTGTCGGTGTAGAGTCTGCGCGTGCGGCAGGATCGAGTCAGAATGTCCCAGATTCAAAGTTCGAAGGACGGTGGCGCCAGGTACATCACGCGCACCCAGTTGTCGAGCGCTTTTGGGCGGCTTGAGTGTCTCGTCGGCTGCAAAGGGTGTAGAGTGGCTTGCGACGTGCAAAGTTACACCCATCCGTTGCACGGGTGCCTTGCCAACCCTGCAATATCCACGCTTCTCCCCAAGCACCACGACCAGCGCGGCCGGCAGTCCTGTCATTCTATTGATTTTGCCAGATATGGGTTTGGGCACTTGTACACCTCATGTTGTGTCTCGAGGCAAGGGTCGCCCCAGGGTGTACAATATCCTACACCCTCCACAGCTCCACTTCCATTATCTCACCGCCGATTTCACTTCCACGGCAACGCCATGGCCGAAAGATCGCGAAGAGCTTCGGCGAGATGTAACGTCGACGAGACCTCCACTACATTCTGGCGCATGTGCGTTTTGGCAGAATACGGTCATCAGCTTGCACCCTCTCACCATCTAACGGGTCCTTGGCGAACCCATCACCACATCACCGCCAATTCCCGGGCCACGCATCCAGCGGCCGTCATTCCTCGGCGCAGGGCGGGTTTTGGAGTTGCTGTCCCTGTCGCCCGGCACCCTTGCTCAACGGCCGAATGTTCTTCGAGGTGGGGTATCATTTCCACCAATCCGATCGCTCCAAGTCGACAGCTGCTGGGTGGACCGGCCAATCAAAATTCGAATGATTGCACGTCGCAGTAATTGCGACCAGGCCTGATTTTTGTCGGGGGGTATTTTATTCAAGCCCAACGACCCCGTGTATTTTAATCGAAGCGACAAAATGTCTCTTAAGTGCCGACGCGATCGCCCTGTCACAAAGCATACGATTCGATAAAGTTCGTTCTTTCCAAATCGCAAGTTCGAGAACCACACTGGATTCGAATTCTGCGGTTCAATTCGTAATTTGATAGCCGCGTGACATCTCGACGGCGCGTCCTCGTTGTGTCTGTCCGTCCATCGCCGCCGCGTCCGTCACAGTCCCTTGTGTCCCCATGTCGACAGTGAAACAACCCCCCGCCATGAATTCGTTCCTGGTCACGAAGAAGAACGAAACCCTCCTTCGCGTGAAGGAAGAAGTGGTTTCACCAAAGCAAACGGCAATGCCGATGCCGCCAGTTGCCCCGTGCAAACTCAAGATCTCTGCCCAAAATACCCCTGCTGTCGTTAAGAAGCGCAAGAACGTTGTGCAATCCCCTGTGGGCAGTGAATGCAGCACCACATCTTCCTCGAGCAACGCGAGTGCCAAAAAGCGCAAAGCTAGCAACGTCAACGACGACCTCTTTGACATAAACGACATGGGCTCGGCCGAAGAAAAGATTAAGGAAATGGAGCGCCAGTTGCTCAGCCTCGACCCAGACTCCAAAGAAGCGAAGAAGAAGCGACGACTGATTCGTAACCGCATGTCGGCCCAGCTACACCGTGAGCGCAAGAAGGCGTATGTTGTGCAATTGGAAGAACAACTCCAAGCCAAGGATGATGAAATGCAAGCTCTCAAGGCACAACTTGATGCATTGAAGGCTGAAAATACGCGCCTGAAGAACAATGACGTCCCAGCGATCAAACTTGAACCTCCATCTGCATTTGCTGCGAATACCGAAGAACAAGCTGTCACTGCCTCGGAATCTGGAGCTTTTGACACTGACGCCTTAATCTGCGACCTGGAATGTGAACCAGACCACTGGGATTCGTCGATCTTGAATGATTTGGACTCGGATATGCTGGAATTCCCCGAGCCGACTGTGACCTCTGCTGTGCCCTCTCTGGCCCCCCGAAAGCCAACGGAAATCCACGATTCGTTCGTTGCTAAGAAGAACCTTGCGATGATGATGGCAATTGTGTTCTCCATGACATTTTTTGGTGGCATGATGTCGATCTTTGACACGATTTCCTCCGCGTCTGGATCTGGATTTTGCTCGTATTTCAAGTCGTACTCGCCCAAGCTTCTGGGCGAAATGAGCGTGAAGTCGCGAGTGTTGTCGGATTTGGAAGGCACCGCATGGATGGATTTTCCCGAGATGAACGATGAGCCAGCGCAAGAAAGCAATTCGTCGTCTGACCACAACCAGTATTCTCATGGCATTCCAATGGACGACTTGTTTGACGATATCTCCATGTCGTTTGCGATGCCGCTCGAAGAAGAAGAAGAGGAAGAAGAAGATGACTTGATGGGCAGCGACAACGGCTCCACGTCGGAAGAAGACAGCGGCTCGGACAGCAACTATGTGAAGCCTGCAAAGCTCGTGCTGACCAAGAAAGATATGAGCTATGCCAACCTGACCCGCCTGTGGTGCGAAAAACGCAGTGTGTTGTGCACATTGGCTTCTGCTGGTGAAGAACTGAAGCACGCTGTCGTGGATTTGAGTCACGTTAAGGACTCGATCACGATGGAGGCTTCGTTTGCCGAAGTGCTGGCCTCGTTTACCACGGGCGATGAAGACCCCAAGGTCCTCGGGTCAACCGAGAAGCAAGTGCTGAGCTTTTTGTACCCCATGGGGGTCTTCTCGAGGGACGATGCAACCACGGTCTCGGCCGTGCTCGAGCCGCTTCCGTTCATGGAAGTCGCTTGTCATATTTAATTCGTCGGTCGTCATCCCCCCCGTATATATTATAGAAGACCCCCGTATATTATTCTTTTTCAAACAGTTCTAGTCGTATCGTTCTCCGTGGCATCGACACGGTGTGTTTTTGTCAGCATCGTGGCACAAGATGATTGGATAAAAGGATAAGTTGGCCAAGCCTGATTGGTTGAATTGTGTGAATTTTACTGACCAGTCGTTTTCATGGGTTTCGATTGGCGGATCCACTGGGCCGTTTTGGCCGGAGCTCTGGAAAATGATCGCCACCATGCTTGCATGGTCTGTGCCAACATCGGCCCTGATGCACGAGGGCCTGAGAACGCACCAGACGACAACGGCAACTTGAGAGCGTCTGAGCAAACTCAGGCAGGTTGA